AATGCAGGAGACCTGGGTTTGATCCCTGGCTTGGGAAGAAATCCTGAAGAAGGGAATAGTAACCCACTCCAGTATTCTTGCCTGGGAAATCCCACGGACAGAGGAGCCTGGCAGGCTACAGTCCAGGGGTCGCAAAGAGTCAGACACGACTGAGCGACTAAACAACATCATCATCTGGGTCCATGTGATCTCCATCTCAACTGTCCCATTGTAGCCCATGGTATTTCCACTGTCCGAGTCCCCTGGGGGAAGAGCTTCCCAAATGGCCCCCAGTGATCCCTGCCTCCTGGTATTCATGACTGTGTGTGTATGGGCTGGACCACTGAGTTAACTTTAATGAACAAAATACAGCAGAGGGGATGGGTTATCACTTTTGAGAAGAGGTTATAAACGACTTCCCTCTTTTTCATATACTCTGTCTTTCTGACTCTTCTCAAGTGTTTGCTCTGATAGAGTAAGAGGAAAATCCACATGGTGAGAAACTCTGGGCTGCTTCCAACTGTGTTGGTCACTCAGTTGTGTCCAACTCTTTGCGACCCTGTGGACTGTAGCCCACCAGGCTCCTCTGTCCATGGGATTCTCCAGGTAAGAATACTGAAGTGGTTGCCATTCCTTCTTCAGGAAATCTTCCTGACCCAGGTATAGAACCCAGGTCTTCTGCATTGCAGGCAGATTCTTTACCATCTGAAGCTTCCAACTACCTGCCAGTAAAGATTCAAGGGCTTGGTCCTAACATCTCAGAGGGAGCTGAATACTGCCAACAACCGTGGGAGGGAGCCTGGAAGAGGGTTGTTCTCCCATGAAGCCTTCAGATGAGACCACAGCCCTGGCAGACACCCTGATTATGATGGCCTGTGAGAACCCCTGAGCTGTGTAAACCAGCTAAATTGTGCCTGGATTTCTGACCCACAGAAATGATGAGATGATAACTGTGGGATTTTCTGCTTTTGTTTTTGTCTTCTCGGGATGTGGGGATCTTAGTTCCCTGACTAGGAATTGAACCTGTGTTTCCTGCCATGGAAGTGCAGCATCTTAACTACTGGATCACCAGGTAAGTCCCTCAAAACTGTGTTTTTTAAGCTACACATACTGGGGTGATTTGAGGATGATTTATTATGCAGCAAGCGATAATTAACACACCCAGATTCCAATACCTGGGGCTATCTTTGCTCCTGTTGATTATGACAAGGCACCTTAAAGTTCTCCTGCCCTTTTCTCAAGGCCTTTATATTTACACTTCTTTAACCCACTCCAGTATTCTTGCCTAGAGAATCCCATGGACAGAGGAGCCTGGTGGGCTGCTGTCCGTGGGGTTGCATAGAGTCGGACATGACTGAAGAGACTTAGCAGCAGTAGCAGCAGGAAGGAAAGATCTCCAGTATCAGTCTCCTGGCACCCCTTCCTCTGCTGGACAACACCTCTCCAGCTTCTTGTCAGAAAACAACACCTTCCTTGCCTTGGACTCGCTACATCCCAACACTTAGCTTGAGTCCAGACTGTCTTCTTCTTTCTTGATGGATTCCAATCCCAGAGCCCGATGCTGGGGTTCTGAGCCTGACCCAAGCAGCATACCTTTTATCACTGCTGTGTTTGATGGTTGGTCTGTGGCATTCTTGATGCCATATGACACCCACTCAGATCAAACCGTCTTAACAGCCTTGCCGGATGGCCCGAGTCCCTCCCTGACCAGTACACAGCCAGGTTCCCAATTGGGTCCTGGTGGCCAGCCCTGGCTGTGGCTCCCCAACTGCTCTGCTCAGGCTTTTCATGTCACTGACTTTCCCAATGCTACCCCCTGAGGAGGCACGCACCATCTGTCAAAGGCCTATGTCAAATTCTGAGCTCTTTCTCCTAACTTTCCAGGCAACAGGGGTCGGAGGGTCGGGGGGACTTGTGGACAGGCCAGTTCTTCAGGGGAGATGTGAGCACAGTGGGTCCAAGAAGAGTTTGGCAACAGAACCCCCCTCAGTGGCACCACAGTGACTCAAGGCAGTGGGGGATGGAACATGGGTCAGAACCAGCTCTCAGGCCCTGTCAGCAAGGATGAAGCAGACTGTTGACTTGGAGCCAGGAAAATAAGAGTAAAATTTCCTTTCTTTGGCTTCCAGGGAAAGTCACAGACAGACACTAACCTACGCGTCCAATCTGTCCTCATCTCAAGCTCTCTGCTCCCACCACTTTCTAGTCCAGAATTCTTTACCTTAAAAAATATTTATTGAATGGATGAGCTCCTCACACGTTATGTGAAGCAAAAGAATCTGGATGCAAAAGAGTAAATGCTGTGTACCTCCTTTAGATGGCTTTTTAGAATAGACAGAGCTCGGCTAATGTGAATAAAAGAAAAAATCCTACTAGTCACCTCTGGTTGGTGAGGGATTGCCTGATGAGAGATGAGGAATTTTCTGGACTAATGGAGACGTTCTCTGTCCTGAATGTATGTATTTGCTAAAATGATAAGCCAACTCTGTGGTTCTGTCACTATGCCATTTTCACATATGTAAATTTTATCTCCAATTAAAAAAAAAAAAAATTAAACCGGGGCAGGAAGTGGGTGAGGTTACAGAAGAAGCAGAAATGGTGGAACAGTAATGAGGGTGTGCGGATAAGTGTTTTTGAGGGGAGGAACCACCTTTTACTTTTTTGCATTCCTCCCAAAACTTAGCCCTATGGTGCTCAGTAAACATTTGTTCAAAGTATTTATTTAGAAAATAAGTATCTCCTTATAAAGCTTGCCTGTATTATATATATATTTATAGTCTGAATGTTTGTGTCTACTTCTGTGTTTAGTTGCTCAGACATGTCTGACTCTTTGCGACCTCACAGATTGTAGCCTGCCAGGCTCCTCTGTCCATGGGATTCTCCAGGCAAGAATACGGGAGTTGGTTGCCATTTCCTACTCCAGGGGATCTTCCTGACCCAGTGATGGAACCTGAGTCTCTCGTGTCTCCAGTACAGGCAGGTACTCTTTACCACTAGCAACACCTATGAAGCACCCCCCCCCCACCGCCCCCCACCCTGCTCCAAATTATATGTTTAGATTGTAACCTGCAATATTGAGGGTGTTAGCAGGAGTCTTTGGAAGGTGGTTAGGTCATGAGGGTGGAGTCTTCACAGGTAGGATTAGTGCCCTTATAAAAGGGGTCCCAGACAGCCCCCTTGCTTCTTCTGTCAGGTGAGAAAACAGAGAGAAAGCAGCCATCTATGAATCATGAAGCTCTTGCCAGGCACTGAATCTGCCAGCACCTTGATCTTGGAAGTTCCAGGATCCAGAACTATGAGAAATAAATATTTGTCTTTAAATGCCACCTAGTTCAAGCTATTTTGCTGTAACGACTCAAATGTATAAAGATATATGCAGATTTATAAATATATCAGGGAGAAGGAAATGGCAACCCACTCCAGTATTCTTGCTTGGAGAATCCTGTGGACAGAGGAGCCTGGAGGGCTGCTGTCCATAGGGTCGCACAGAGTTGGACACGACTGAAGTGACTTAGCATGCATGCATAAATATATCAAGAATTCTTTCTCAAAGTATTGAACTAAATGATTAATTGTTACTGGGACATGCTCTCTTATGAAAGGAAATATAAAAATAGGTAAAATTTGAACATAACTTTTCAGTTATTTAATTTTGTGACATGCCAATTCAGTGTATTTCCTGTTTGACAAATTCTGTCTATATTATTTTTGGTATCTGTTCTCATGCAAACCATCCATATGCTGAGTTGGTTGTAGGGGAAACATTTGTTCTAACAGAGTTCTTGGGACTTGAGCTGAACCTGAACCCACTCAGGCATTTGGAGAACCATCATTCTTAGGAGCTGACCACAAATGAGAGGAACTATATGTATCTATTGGGCTTGTCAGGTGGCTCAGTGGTAAAGAATCCACCTGCCAATACAGGAGATGTGGGTCCAATCTTTGGGTTGGGGAGATTCCCTGGAGAAGGAAATGGCAACCCACTCTAGAAGGAAATGGCAACCAGACAGAGGAGCCTGGCAGGCTACATTCCAGGAGCTTGCAAAGAGCTGGCCACAATTGAGCACAACACACAAAGAAGCATTAGAACACATTTTAGGGGGTCAATACATAATTCCTAATCTCCATTGACATGTTAGAATTTTACCACTGAAATGCAAAGTTACCTGGGAGGCTCTGAAAGTGCAGAGTTGGGGCTCCAATAAAGAACAAAACCCCATTACAGATGAACCTATTTCCAAGGCATAGAGACACAAACTTGTATACACAGGAAGGGAAGGAGAAGGTAGGATGAACTGAGAGAGTAGCACTGACATATGCACACCACCATGTGTAAAACAGATAGCATAGGAAGCTCAGTTCAGTGCTCTGTGATGATCTAGAGGGGTGGGATGAGGACAGGGATGGGGAGGAGGTTCAAGAGGGAATGGATATATTTTATCTATACATATATATGTATATGATTTACTTTGTTGTACAGCAGAAATTGACACAACATTGTAAAGCAGTTATCCTCCAATTTAAAAGAACAAAATCCCAGGAAAGTCAGGAGTGTGCTCTCACAGCATCAAGTGCCTATGATAACTGTGCTCTCCAAGAACTGTTCTTTCTATACTTTGAAACAACCCAAGAAGCCACACAGTGACCTAGGCATGTCCTCGGAAATATGGGCATCAGCATGACAATTTGTAAAGGGCTTCCCCAGTGGCTCAACAGTAAAGCATCTGTCTACCAATCCGGAGGCACAGGAGACCTGGGTTTGATCCATGGGTTTGGAAGATGCCCTGGAGAAGGGAATGGCAACCCATTCCAGCATTCTTGGCTGGAGAATCCCATGGACAAAGGAATCTGGCAAGCTACAGTCCATGGGGTCGCAAAGAGTCGAACACGACTGAGGACACAGATGATTTCTAAAGGCCCAGAGGTCAGGGTGGAGTCAGATCTACACAGGAGGAAGAAATCTAAAAAGAAAAAGGCAGGACTTTTGAAAGGCTGCAAACACACTGGGAATGTGAACATACTTGTTAAATAATTGAAGACTTCCCCGATCCTCCGGCTCAAGGACTCTGTGAAGCTTCTCAGGCTGAGCTCCAGCCTTTGCCTCCTGCGCTGCGGCAGCTGCGTCTTGCAGGGTCCCGCGGGTCCTCTCTGAGTCGGAACAGAACCAGGGGTCAAAGTCTGGCGAGACTCTGGCTCACCTGTCGCTACCCGCTTCCCTTCCCTTAAGTCGTCTGTCGTTGGACACGTGGCCATTTAAACGGCACAGAAAAGGACAAACAGCGTTTGGGCCAGATCTTGCTGACTAGACACCTATTAGTTCACTGAAACATGGTTCATACTTAGTCAGTCTTTCAAAATAAACAGTCTCTCACTTGCTGGGTGTGGGAAGAGATGGGCTGGCTTTCAGAAGCCCATGTTGCTATCTTCCTGGGTACAGAACTCTGGAGTCAGTACTTACACTCCCTATGATATAGAATGTTTGTTTCATGGAAACAGGGAAGGAAGAAGAAGAGGAAGGAGGAACGAGAATCCCTTAGCCAGGTGGCTTACTGCGAGCCACTGATCCAGGACAGGCACAGCCTGGTGGGGTTGGGAGGCACAGTCAAGTGAGGTCCACCAGGGAAGCTCGTCTTCTCCCTCTCCAGGGCCTGGTTCAATCATTACATCTGATCTAACCGTCTGAGACTTTGTTCTTGGCTAGCGTCTTCGTCCCACCTCCCATCTGTCATAAGAGGCCATCTTCCCTGGCAAAGAGCTGATGGCACCCAATTATACCTTCTGTGGGGGCCCTTCAGCATCCGAGGCCACTCGCCAACCTCTCTGCCCACCCCTGCCTGCCCTGGCCCTCGCTCACATGCCCCTCCCCCTCACGTGCCCACTCACGTGCACCTCCCCCACCCTCCCAGCACTGGTCTCAAAGCTGCCAGGTGCTGACGTGTCGTGATCTGTGCCGCCACAGGGAATCCCATCGTCCTGGAAGAGCTCCCTCAGGAGGTGGGCTGAGGGAGAGGCTGGTTCTGCTCACACTTTAGTGGTCTTTTCAGCTCTAGGGCCTGCCTCTCTGGCCTACGCACAAGGATGGGAACAGGAGAAATGGGGTGGCCACCTTAAGGGGCCATAGGGATGAGTCTCTCGCCCTATGCGGGGGCTTGTCTCCTGTAATTAAGGGTGTCAGGCACTCTTCATTTCTAGGGGCACAAATGATCATTACAACAAGTCCTTCCGCAAACAACATTACAATGTGGACATAGGACTCCCCTGGTGGCACAGTGGATAAGAATCTGCCTGCCAACGCAGGGGACATGGGTTTGATCCCTGGTCCAGGAAGATTCCACGTGCCAAGGAGCAACTAAGCCCATGTGTCACAACTACTGAGCCTGTGCCCTGGAGCCTGTGCTCTGCAACAAGAGAAGCCACCATACTGAGACTTCTGCGCACAGCAACAAAGAGTAGCCCCCACTCACTGCAACTAGAGAAAGCCTATGCACAGCAACGAAGATCCAGCACAGCCAAAAATAAATAAATAAAAATTATTTTTAAAATGTGGGCATAAAACACCATCGTGCTTTGGGCCCCACATTGCACTAGCTGCTGATACGGAGTGAAATACAGTAACTTCTTGCCTTCACCTTTATACCGATTAGGTCATTTTTCCTTTGCATTTGCTCTGAAGCATAACTGCTGACTGGGATGCTTTCTTGCATGGTCACGCTGGGACATGTTTGTTTATAGTATGTATGTCTAATGATGGTAGCCGGCCCTGTGCATATAAGAAGAATGGAAAGGCCTCCTAGGCATTTGCACAAGCTCTTTCTACTCCCACCTAAGGAGACCAGTTACTTCTGAAGGGAGATGTCATGATGGGCCATCATAAAGCAGCTCCTTCTGGGGACCCACAGAGGGCGAGCCCCACGGTTGGGTCAACCCATACTGGAAGAAAGCAAACCTCTGTAAAGAACTTGCAGAAGAGCTTGAAATTGTTACATAGGGAACCAGCTACAAAGGTTACTTTAAAACTCTTAAATCCTGACCATCCATATGGAATTCAGTTAGTAAAAGACATTGCACATTTTAGAATTTGATTTTTGAAAAATAATCCCTTCAGTTAAATTCTTTATAATGTATTTCTGTGTCTCTCTATATATATATACACACACAAATTTTAATTTTTGAGGAGTTTTAGGCTTGTGTAGAAGTTGCTCCCATGTATCTTTCACCCTACTTCCTCCAGTATATTGTTTTGCATAATCCTAGTTATGATATCAAATAGTCAGTCAACCATCTAAACCAGAAAGCTGATATTGGCACTGTACTAATCCATAGATGTTATTCAGATTGTACTAGTTTTTACATGCACTCTTTTTTTGTGTATTTTTGGTTTTTTGCTTTTTGTGGTTGTTGTGTAATTCTATGGCTTCCCTGGTAGCACTAGTGGTAAAGAACCTGCCTGCCACTGAAAGAGACAGAAGAGGCAGTTTGATCCCTAGGTCAGGAAGATTCCTTGGAGAAGGAAATGGCAACCCACTCCAGTATTCTTGCCTGGAGATCCCCAATGGACAGAGGAGTCTGATGGGCTAGGGTCCATGGGGTCGCAGTGACTTAGCACACAAATAGGCATATAGTTCTATAAAATGTTATCATTGATACAGATTTGCATAACCACAGTCACCCCTATTCCCTTTACTTGCAGCCCTGGACAATCACAAATCTATTTTCTGTCTCTATGGATTTATCTCTTTTGGACCTTTCATATGACTGGAATCATACAATATGTGGCATTTTGTAACTGGTTTATTTCTTTTAGCATAAAGTTTTCAAGGTCCATCCATGTTGCAGCATCTTTTAGGCCTTCATTACTTTTTACATCAGAGTAATATTCCATTGTACCAGTATAACATATTTTGTTTATTTACTCATCACTTGATGGTCATTTGGATCATTGCTTCTTGGATAGCATGAACAATGCTGTTGTGAACATTCTCACATAGGTTTTTTCTGTGGACATATGTTTTTACTTCTCATAGGAATATACTAAGCAGTAGAATCCTGGTCATATGGTAACTCTTACATTTTGAGGAACCATTGCAACTTGCGTGCCTTCATGTGTAGAATGAAAGCTCAGGCCAGAGCTTCCATGAACAGAACCTTAATCTATTAATGTTTTGGTGGTGGTTTAGTCCCTAAGTCATGTCTAACACGTGACTCCCATGGACTGCAGCCTGCCAGGCTCCTCTGTCCATGGGATTTCCCAGGCAAGAAATACTGGAGTGGGTTGCCATTTCCTTCTCCAGGGGATCTTCCCCACCCAGGGATTAAACCCACATCTCCTGCATTGCAGGAGGATTCTTTACTGACTGAGCCATCAGAGAAGTCCAACTAATATTTTATGCTTCGCAATTAAAAGTCTTTGTTAAAATCAGAAAGGTGAAAACCATTCTATCAGACAACCAAAATTACCCTCTAGGCTGTCTTGTGAGGTTTTATGTGATGCCACAGACATTTATTTCTGTGTCATCAGTACTGGAAAGGAGTACTGAAAGAAGTTCTGGATCTTTTTATTAAGATAAAAATCAGAGACATAGCCAGTTGGGGAAGAATGCTGTTACCTTAAATTAAAAATCAATGCTGTCTTGAAGCTCCTTTTTTTTTTTTTTGGCCATACAGCAGGGCATGTGGGATCCTAGTTTCCTGCCTGACAAGGGATTTAACACATGTCCCTTGCAGTGGAAGCACAGTGTCTTCATCACTGGACCACCAGGAAAGTTCCTGAAACTCATTCTTAAAGAGTGTGGTTGTGGTACCAGATATCTTGATTAGACCACCATTCATCCTTCTTACCACTTCTCAGAGCAAAGCGTGTTCTTACCTTGGAAGTAAAGAAAAAAGCAGGTGAGCAGGTAAGGGCAGAATTCCTCCAGATGAGAGCAAAAAGCACAGAACGCCTCCGGCCCTTTGGAGCCCAGCTTCAGGAAGAAAGCATCCACTCTCTGCTGAGAGCCAGCCCGGGAGAGGATCTGGGTGCCCTCCTGCAGGGAGAACAGGCCATCATACACCAGATGTGGGAGCACTGAACCCACGTCCAGGGCCCGCAGCGCCCTCTCTCGGTAACTCCCGGGGATCTCCGCGAGTAGCTGGGCCCGCCTCTCTCTTTCTCTCCGCGCCCTCGGCTCGCAGTGATAGAACCAACAGTCGGCGCCTCTCTCTGCTGCCCTAGCAAGCGGAGGGCCCGAGAAACCGCTCCCCCTGGGGCCTGGCGGCTCCTCGGCCTCCGCGGGCACCGTCCACACCGCGCGGGCATCTGCAGGCCCACTCATTCCGCCGTCTGCAGAGACTGCAGGTCTGCGGGGAGGGCTGGGATTAAACCTGCAGTGCTGGCGGTCGTGCCCTAAGAGGATTGCGCTGCACCGTGAACCCCTTGCAGGGGTGAACATGAAAAGATGAGCCAGAGGCAGACTGACTGAATCCCCTCCCGCTGAAATTCCTCCTCCGGTTCCCAGGTGAGCACTCTCACCCCATCCCAGGTGACCCCTACATCGCCCTCCCCCACCCCCCATAACACATTTACAGGCGACTTGGAAAATACAGAACGAAGTTACACACAGTTCCACTATTGTTGTTGTTCAGTTGCTCAGTCGTTTCAGGCTCTCTGCGACCCCACGGACTGCAGCACGCCAGGCTTCCATGTCCTCCACTATCTCCTGGAGCTTACTCCAATTCATGTCCACTTTGTTGGTAATGCTATCTAACCATCTCATCCGCTGCCGCCCCTTCTCCTCCTGCCCTCAATCTTTCCCAGCAGCAGGGTCTTTTCCAATGAGTCAGCTCTTCACATCAGGTGACCAAAGTGTTGTCGCTTAAGCTTTAGCATCAGTCCTTCCAATGAATATTCAGGGTTGATTTCCTTTAGGATTGACCAGTTTGATCTCCTTGCTGCCTTCTCCAACACCACAGTTTGAAAGCATCAGTTCTTCAGCACTCAGCCTTCTTTATGGTCCTTGTTTATGGTCTCTCACATCCTCACATGACTATTGGAAAAACCATAGCTTTGACTACATACACCTTTGTTGGCAAAGTGATGTCTCTGCTTTTTAATATGCTGTCTAGTCTTGTCATAGCTTTTCTTCCAAGGGGCAAGCATCTTTTAATTTCTTTTAATTTCCTGGCTGCAGTCACCAATTTGCCTTGATTCATGGACCTAACTTTCCAGGTTCCTATGCAATACTGTTCTTTACAGCATCTGTAAAGTTCTTTACAGGACTTGACCTCAATCACCAGTCACATCCACAACTGGGTATTGTTATATTGTCACCCTGTTTATTTAACATATGCAGAATACATCATGCGAAATGCCAGGCTGGATGAAGCACAAGCTGGAATCAAGATTGCCAGGAGAAATATCAATAACCTCAGATATGCAGATGACACCACTCTTATGGCAGAAAGTGAAGAAGAACTAAAGAGCCTCTTGATGAAAGTGAAAGAGGAGAGTGAAAAAGTTGGCTTAAAACTCAACATTCAGAAAACTAAGATCATGGCATCTGGTCCCATCACTTCATGGCAAATAGATGGGGAAATAATGGAAACAGTGAGAGACTTTATTTTCTTGGACTCCAAAATCACTGCAGATGATGACTGCAGCCATAAAATTAAAAGACGCTTTCTCCTTGGAAGGAAAGTTATGACCAACCTACACAGCATATTAAAAAGGAGAGACATTACTTTGCCAGCAAAAGTCCATCTAGTCAAAGGTATGCTTTTTCCAGTAGTCATGTATGGATGTGAGAGTTGGACTATAAAGAAAGCTGAGTGCTAAAGAATTGTTGCTTTTGAACTGTGGTGTTGGACAAGACTCTTGCAAGTCCCTTGGACTGCAAGGAGATCCAACCTGTCCATCCTAAAGGAAATCAGTCCTGAATATTCATTGGAAGGACTGATGCTGAAGCAGAAGCTCCAATACTTTGGCCGTCTGATGCAAAGAACTGACTCGTTGGAAAAGACTGTGATGCTGGGAATGATTGAAAGTGGGAGGAGAAGGGGGCGACAGGGGATGAGACGGTTGGATGGCATCACCAATTCGATGGACATGAGTTTGAGTAAGTTTCGGGAGTTGGTGATGGACAGGGAGGCCTGGCATGCTGCAGTCCATGGAGTTGCGAAGAGTAGGACACGACTGAGCTACTGAACTGAACTATAGTCACCATCCACAGTAATTTTGGAGCCCAGGAAAATAAAATCTGCCACTATTTCCATTTTTCCCCATCTGTTTGTCATGAAGTGATGGGACTTGATGCCATGATCTTAATTCCACTATATATTACAATTATTTTTTGAGTAGATAAATTAAGACTTTTAGTTGGAATTTCAATATCAAACCCTCAAAAATTAATAGAATGAATAGACAGAAAAGTAGAAGGATATAGCAGCACTGTGAACCAATTTGTCATGATAAAGATGTATACAATTTTCACACAACAGTAAGATACAAATGTTATTCAAGTTCCCATATACTATAAACTAGGAGGTACTGGTATATATCCAGGGACATAAAAGAAAGTGCAAAAATTTCATGGTCTAAAGGTATTGAAATCATACAGAGTCTGTTCTCATTGTGGAATTATGTTAGAAATCAATATCATAAGATATCTGAACATAACCCTCACATTTACAAGTGCAATGTGACATTTACCAAGAGAGATCTTTGACTTAGCCATTGAAAGCCTCAATAAAGTTAAAGACTGAAAAAACGCAGATGGTGATTGTGAGAAGAAAGCCTTTAAATGAGAAATTAATATCAAAGATACTTTAAAAACCCAAGTCCAAATGATTATTTTCAACATCACAAATGTAACAGGCTCACAGTCTGTACTGAAGGGTCTCCTTGTGACAGTGGAAGCTGTGTCAGGACCTGGCTACTGATCTCTCTGGCCTTCTCTGTGCCCCCATGTGAGGTTGGATGCAGCCTGACAACTAGCCTGCCTGCAGACACTGGGGAACTCGGCCAAAGCCAGATTTTGAACAGGGCATTTCAGTTTTCCCAAACTGTTCGCTGAGTGCTATTTCTTAGTACATGGTTTCTTTTCTTTCAGAAATTGGGACACCTCATTTGTAGCAACATGGATGGACCCAGAGATTGTCATCCTGAGTGAAGTAAGACAGAGAAGGAGAAATACCATATGACATTCCTTATATGTGGGATCTAAAAAGAAATGATGCAAATAAACTTACTTACAAAACAGAAAGAGACTCGCAGACTTAGAGGACGAACTTATGGCTGCTGAGGGGAAGGAATAGTTAGGGAGTTTAGGATGGACATGTGGTAGTTTAGTCACTCAGTCGTGTCCGACTCTTTGCGACCCCATGGACAGTAGTCTGCCAGGCTCCTCTGTCCATGGGATTCTCTAGGAAGGAATACTGGAGTGGGTTGCCATTTCCTTCTCCAGGGAGGATGGACATGTACACACTGCTATATTTAAAATGGATAACAAACAAGGACCTCCTGTATAGCACAGGGAACTCTGCTCAATGTTATGTGGCAGCCTGGATGAGAGGGTAGTTTGGGGGAGAATGAACACATTGTATGTATAGCTGAGTCCCTTTACCATTCACCTGAAACTATCACAACATTGTTAATTTAGTATAACCCAATACAACATAAAAAGTTCAAAAGAAAAAAAAAAGAAATTGAGACACTTCTGTGTGATGACTTGGTTAAATGATCCGGTCTCATAGATGACCCCTCCCCTTTGATCCAGCTCTGGTGTTCAATTAATGGATCAGATTAGAAGAGATTATTGCCGGGTTGGGAGAGTGCCACAAGCCATGCCTCACTGAGGATCATATAATATGATTACTCCGCCTGCTGGAGCCCCCAGGCCCTAGTGACTCAGGATGCTCCCTGGGTGTGTCTGAACGGGACCTGTTGTTCTCTGGCCTGTCCCTCTTCCTTTGCCCGTGAGTCGAAGTATGGCCTCAGGGTCCTTCTCTGGCTCACATCACCCATCTTCTCTCTAAAAGTCACTCTAAGAAGAACCCACTCATAGCACAGGGAACTCTACTGAATACTCTGTAATAACCTGTACAGGAAAAGAGTCTGAAAAAGAGTGGATGTATGTATATGCATAACTGAATCGCTTTGCTGTACACCTGAAATTAATACAACATTGTAAATCAACTATACTCCAATACATTTTTTTTTTAAACAAAGCAGATCATTTCCAGGTGAAGAGAAAAGATTTAAAGAAGCCTGATTTTCTAAAACTTTTTTTCCGGTTAGGAAATTGTTAAAAAGTTCTGTTATTCTCTAATATCCCTGCCAGTTCTGTTTATAGAAGCAAATAGATATTTTTCTACAATATCTGTGTAGAAGATATTTACTTTTCATAGATCCAAATACCCTTGTGGTTGTCTGGTGGTAGTGTCACAGAAAAGACTTCCTGGCTTTGCTTCTGACCTCATGTGTGACCTTGAAAAAATAATTCTGTGTCATCATACTCCTTTGTGTTAACCATGTTTTCCTGATGTTTTGCTATCTTGAGGCCTTACCTACTCTGAAGAGATGGCCTCCTTCCCCCTGAGGGCTGGCCAGGTCCTAGAGACAGAAGAGAACTTGCCTGCAAGCATGCCTTTTATAGGCAAGTTACCAGTCTAGAAGCCACACCCCCACACACCTCCTTTATGGGATCTTTACACCTGGGGCCACACTCCACCTGCCCTAATCACTGCAGGGCCAGAAAACTAGGGACAGACCATCTGCCCCACAGGCTGCCAAATGTGTTCAAACTAGTCCATCGTAAGCCTGCTTACCACCTCACCCATTCCTCCCTGAAGAAACCACATAAAGGCTCTTATCCACATCTGCTTCCTGCTCCTCCAGTCTCCTGATGGACCCTATGATTCCCCACGTGGCCCTGAACAGAGCACCCTCTCCTCCTGGGAACTGTAGGTGACAGACCATCTTTTCAATGGCAGGGGTCTCCTGATCTGTTGGCCTCACCCTGCCTGAGTAACAGTAAACTCCATATTTTAAAACATCTATTGAAAGTACAAAGCTGGGGCTGAATTGTGATGACTGTAAAGCATTTTGAGTGTGGTTAGAACAGGACCAGATGACATAGAACCTGACTGCTTTCTTCAGCACCAGCAGCGAAGGTCATGTGCCCCACGCTGAAACTTCTAAGGGAACCAGTGCCATCTTGTGGTATTCGGTGGTCTCTCAGGTGATTTCTTTTCCTTCACACAGCGGTCCCCAATCTTTTTGGCACCAGGGATAGGTTTCATAGGGCTACCCTGGTGGCTCAGATGGTGAAGAATCTGCATGCAACGCAGGTGACCTGGGTTCGATCCCTGAGTCGGGAAGATTCCCTGGAGAAGGGAAAGGCAACCCATTCCAGTATTCTTGCCTGGAGAATCCCATGGACAGAGGAGCCTGGGGGGCTACAGCCCATGGGGTCGCATGCATATGACTGAGCAACTTTCACCAGTTTCATGGAAGACAATTTTTCCACTGACCAGAGAGTGGGGCTGGTTTCGGGATGATTCAAGTGCATCACATTTATTGTGCACTTTGTTTCTATTATTATTACATTGTGATATATAATGAAATAATTGTACCACTCACCATAGTGTGGAATCAGTGAGAGCCCTGAGCTCGTTTCCTGCAACTGGAGGGTCCCATCTAGGGGTGACACACCCCAAGTGTGTTGCTTATGTCCAGTCTACTCTGCAATCTCATGTTGGTTGCTGTCACTGCTGAAAACTGTGCTTCCCAAAGATGGGATATTGGAAATGGAAGTGGAATTTTCACTACTTTTGTGGTAATCTCAGGATATTCTGCCTTGACTTTAATCCAGAAAGTATGGAGATTTGAAGCTATCTCAAACATGCGTGTTGCCTGCTAAGTCACTTCAGTCATATGACATCCCTTATATGTAGGATCTAAAAAGAAATGGTACAAATAAACTTACTTACAAAACAGAAAGAGACTCACAGACTTAGAGGACGAAATTTTGGCTGCAGAGGGGAAGGGATAATTAGGGAGTTTAGGATGGACATGTGGTAGTTTAGTCACTCAGTCGTGTCAGACTCTTTGTGACCCCATGGACCCCATGAGATTCTACAGGCAAGAATACTGGAGTGGCCTCCACATGCCCTCCACAAGGGGATCTTCCCTGATCCAGGGATTGAACCCATGTCTCCTGTGGCTTCCGCATTGCGGGCGGGTTCTCTACTGCTGAGTCACCAGAGAAGCCCCATTTCAAACATACCCTGACCTTAACCCTAACTCTGACCCACTGTGCAGCCTGGATCCTAACAGGCCACGGGGACCCCTGTCTTAACAGACCTTACTTTTTAGAGCAGTTCTAGGTTCACAGCAAAGTTGAACAGAAACTGCAGAGCATCCCTATGGTACCCGCTGCCCCCCCACAGCCTCCCCCTCGCCCATTATCAATATCTCCCACCAGAGGGGTACTTTGGTTACAAGGATGAATCCACATTGACATGTAATTATCACCCAGAGTGCATAGTTAGTTCACTTTTGGTGTTTCAGATTCTGTGGGTTTGGAAAATACATAATAACATGTGTCTGTCATTACAGAATCAGATGGAGCTTCATTGCCCTAACATCCTCTGTGCTCCACTTGCTCATCCCTCCCTCCACTCTTGATCATGTAACCTCTCTTTGCTTCAGTTTCTCCACCTATAAATGGCTGTGTCTCTCAATATAAGTATCTTTTAAAGGAGTTCATACTTGTGTAAAGACCTTAGAACAAGGTTTGCCACATCCCAAGCCGTACGAATGTTAATAAAAACCAATCTGTGTTGTTTTTATGGGAGGGTGTGTGCTCATGGTTATGAGGGACACAAAGACCTATGTGGCATTTGCCCTACCCTCGAGGCACTAGCAATTTTGTGTCATCAGATGGAAATCTTTGTAGCGATCTGGGTGCCCTGGTGCCATGGCCTCTACACTTGGCCAGCTTTGGCATGAGGCCAAAGAAGGTCAGTTCTCAATGGCCACTTTTTAGAATCTGGGGGCAAGTTAAAAGAATGGTGACTGCCAGCATTTGAGAGGGAAAGACAAGAACCATTCTGGGAAGGGAGATGTTCCCAAGGTTTTGGACAATTTGCATTTTGGCAACATACTGGCGTGCTGTAGTCCACCGGGTCGCAAAGAGTCGGACACGACTAAGCGACTGAACTGAACTGAACATACTGGAGCTCTGAAGGTACCTTGAACCTGTTCAAAGCCAACGCCGCTCTACAGGCCGGCCTGCCGGTACCCGGTGGTCTCCCCCCAAAAGAGTGCCCAACCTGGGTCCACCTGCCCCGCCCCTTACTTGGCTCCTGGCCCCTCTCCACACCCCCGCCCCTCGTTCCTTAGCCCCGCCCCGCAGTGTACAATCAGCCGGCTACACCTTTCCACATGGCCCCGCCCCTACAGTTCTTATAGCCCCATCCAGTATCTGCGTCCCCGTCAGCTCCTATCGCCCCGCCCCTGCAGTGTACAACCAGCCCCACCATGCCCTGGCGCCCCGCCCCCCCCGTTTCTATAGCGCCGGCCATGCCCCGCCCCAGCAGTGCGCCCCTTCGCTGTCGGCTGTCCACGCGTGGCGCTGGTGCGTGTGGGAGGCGAGGTTGCTGCCATGGCGGCCGAGGCCCTTGCGGCTGAGGCGGTGGCGTCGCGCCTGGCGCGGCAGGAGGAGGACATCCGTTGGCTGTGGGCGGAGGTCCACCGTCTGAGGGACGAGCAGCTGAACGCGCCGGACCGCTGCCAGGCCGAGGGGCCGTGCCTCACGCGCGAGGTGGCGCAGCTGCGGGCAGAGAACCGCGAGCTGCGCCACCGCCTGTACCGACTGCGGCTGTGCCTTGAGGAGGAGCTGAGCCACCAGGCGAGGCTGGAGGGCGCGGAGCGGGCGGAGGCGGGGCGCGGGGCCGCAGGCGCGCAGGTACGGAGGAGGGGGCTGACTGCCGGGCGGGGCGGGGCAGGGAGGGTGCGCTGCTGGCTGGGGGTTGGTGGGGCGGCAGGTGCGGGTGCGCTGAGGGCCAATGGGCGGCAGGAAGGTGCTGAAACCAGACCTCCTCCCCGTCCCCCCGACCCCGCTCGGACCCGGAGCCCACCGCAGACCAGGCACCCCAGGGCCGCTGCCTTTGCAGCGATCGCCAGGCTGACCTAAGGCAGTGATGTCTCAGCTCTTCTAAATTGTCCGCTACTCATTTTCTTAAGTGGCAGAAATAGGGTTCTCCTTTCTTTGAAAAAAATGCTGCGGTGTTTAAAACTCAGTGTTCTTTGCTTGGGCAGAAGAGCAGCAGCTCCCTATAGAAACCCCTTCGTTCTGATGAATGGCTGGTCTGACCTGTTGACGACAGGTGGCTTGGGGTGTTTGGTCCTTGCCTTGTTTCTTGGGCGGGGAGGTGGGGGGAGGTGTGTCTTGAGAGTTGCGTATTTAACCTTGTCACTTAATAGTGTTCTGAAAGATTGAGGACACGAGGAGAAGGGGGCGACAGAGGGTGAGATGATTGGATGGCATCATCGACTCAGTGGACATAAGATTGAGTGAGCTCCAGGAGATGGTGAAGGACAGGGAAGCCTGGTGTGCTGCAGTCCATGGGGTTGTGAAGAGTCAGACATGACTGAGTGACTGAGCACGCATGCATGTTAGTGTTTTGATTCACTTACCTTCCAGTGATGTAGGGCATTTTAAGTTCTTACTGTGGCTCAGACTGTGGATGCTCCTCACTTTTTTGCCAGGGGACTGGGTGTTCCTGGATAACACCTTCCTGAAACAGTGCGTTTAAAAATCTGCAACCGACTTCCAAGGACATTGTTTAAGATTTGGGGTGGGGGAACCATTAAAGAGCAAAATATATTAAGTGCACTTAGCAAGAGTGTGTGAAAGTGCACAGTCAGGAAGGACTGAACCCAAGAAAACCATTTACCTGTTGAGGGTTGAAGGTGGTGGTCATGAGAGCCTCTCACATGGGATGCCTGCTGCCTGCCGACCTGTCCCTCCCCTTCCTGAGGCTTCAAACCTGTTACTCTTTGTGGTCCTTGGTATAAGTTGTTTATTATTTCCGTTTGTTTGTCAGCCTCCTCCGAGTCAAAGCCCAGAAGAGGACGTTAGAAAGGAGATTGAGCCCGACAATGAGGTAAGTCATTGCTGTGGAAATAATATAGAATACTACCTGTAATTTATTTATGCTTATATAGTTAATTGCCCAGGGGTGTGTGTATGTGTGTGTGTATTTGTGCTCAGTCGTGTCCAACTCTTTGTGACTCCATGAACTGTGGCTCTAGAGCCTGGGAGCTGCAACTACTGAGCCTGCACACCTGCAGCCCATGCTCCACAACAAGAGAAGCCACTGCAATGAGAAACCCATGCACCTCTAATAGAGAGTAGCCCCCACTCACTAAAACTAGGGAAAAGCCTGTGCAGCAAAAAAGACACAGCATAGCCAAAAATAAATAAATAAAGATTTAAAAAAAATAGCCATCTTAACTTAGAGATGAGACAGCCACATAGCCATGAAGCACTGCTTAGTCTAAATTGAGACAGCAGAGCTTTTCTTTTGTGTTAAGGAAACTTTGTTGCTTTTTTTAATATAAGTCATTACAGCAACTGGAGAGAACTGATAAAGCACATTAACATTTGGTAGGAGCAGAGGAGGAGTACTTGGCCTCCGGGTTGAGGAGTTCAGACACATTGGAGAAACAACTAGAGAACAAAGTCAGATAGTGTATCAGTTAAGGGCTGAGTTGTGTGACTCTGTGCACATGCTTGCTAAGTGTGCAGAGAAGGGCGATGCCAGTGGGTATAGCAGTTGGAAGAGGAGGGCTTTGCGTGGCTTGGTGAGACCTGGGCTTCCCAGGTGGCTCAATGGTAAAGAACCTGCCTTCCAGCGCACGAGCCTCAGCTTCAATCCCTGGATTGGGAAGATCCCCTGGAAAAGGAAATCCAGTGTTCTTGCCCAGAGAATTCCAGGGGCTGAGGAGCCTGGTGGGTACAGTCCATGGGGTCACAGAGTCAGACAGGAGCATGAAGGCACTGAGTTGGGAGGGGGTCAGCCCTGTGGAAGGGAGTCTCTAGAGGGTGGGAGTTAAAGCAGAGCCTAGGGGCTGGTGCAGGGGGATGCCCTGGGCCTGCTGAGGAGGGTGAGGCTTATTTAGAGCTGAGCAGTTAGAAAAAAAGTCGGCTGTATGTGTTAACCTTACCATGTTCTGTATTCTGATGGCTTTCAGGTGAAGAAACCACCAAATTTTATGAAGGAAAGATTGAAGCTTTTTGAAATATTGAAGAAAGATCATCAGCTCTTACTTGCTATTTATGAAAAGAAGGGAGATTCAAGCGATGTGATCACAGTAAGAGTGGCTGATGGGAGAACAGTGAAAGGGGAAGCTTGGAAAACAACGCCTTACCAGGTGGCTGCTGAAATTAGGTAAACCATAGTGTGGAGCAGATAATGTTAAGTGCTGCACCAGAGCTTGGTGAGGGTGTGTTCTTGGGACTGCTGAAGTATTTTTATCTTAGTTGAATAAATTAAATGTAATCAGTTTATTTATTCCCTCTTGGCTTCTAAAGAGGCCATTTAATAAGTAATTGAATGTCAGAACACAGTCTCTTCCTCTTTAAAGTGTCCAACTTTTAGAGTTCTAATAAAAATACATAGTAAAGAAAAGTACCTATAATCCTTGACAGGCGACATGATGTTGACTCGTTTTATCATCAAGATACTTCCATGAGATTTTACAGGTCTTTTGTCGGACTTGACTCCAAGCCATTCTTCTGCCAGTAGATAACCATGGGTGAGTCTTTGGACCAGTGTGGGCAGATCCCTCCAGCTGTCCAAGCCTGTTTTCTTCTATCTTAAGTGGAAATGATAATACTTTCATTTACCTTATAAGGTTGTAAAGATTAAATGAAAAAATGTATATGGAAGATACTCTGAAAATTAAAACCTTTCTAGAAATGTACAAAGAAGGCTTACTAATTATAGATTGAAGATGTGTGTGTTAGAGCTATGATCAGCCTTGGAATAGGTGCCTTCATCTTCCTAGAATTTAGACACTTCAGTGAAGTTATGTTATTCTGACTAATGTTAATTCCTGGCATTATATAAAATTCTGTGGAAGCTGTAGCTCAGAACTGCCATGTAAATAAACTTATTATTTAAAAAGTAAACTTTTCAACAATTCAAATCCTCAGATTCCTTTGAAAGCTATGGTTAAGATTGTGTTTTTTTTTATCCTATTACATCATATACCTTCCAGGGCCCTCCCATCTGTTCCTGTGCTTTCCAGGAGAGGTGGATAGATGCACTGGGAAAATGGACTTTGAGGCAAAAGTAAACTTCTGTCTCCTCGTGGAGAGGTGTATGCATGTTGGTAGATTGAAGTCTGAGCTGCCCTGCACTGAAGAGATGGTCCAAGCTTGGCAAACAGGGTCATTTCATTCTAGGCCATGTTCTTTGTTGCTCTGTCAGTGATGTTCATTTCCACAGGTACCAGGTTAAAACCACCCTCGAGTTTGATGACAGAAGGGTTGCAGGAGTTGTCTACAAAGTAAAATCATCCAGAGCTAAAGGATGGACCTAGCCATGTCAGACATACCTGATAAGAAGAAAGCAGAGGTCATGATATTACCTTCAGGTGGCAGAACTCAGGGATACACTCATGGAGTGGGAGACTAGGACTTATTTTTAAAATAGAAGAACAGTGTAATCCGCAATTTTTCACACCCCTTTATGAGTTATATAATGTAGCATCACACCAGAAATGCAAAATTATAAGAACTCAAGAGTAGTAGGTTTTAATATACCTGTCTCAGTTCTTGATCAAATAGGCCAAAGTTAAGATGACATGGTCTGAATGGTAACATTTAAGGTGGGTTTCATGGCTACTCCCCAGTCTCTGTGCTGTGGCCCACATGGTGCCTTCTCTCTTGGGACATGTGGTTGTGCTTTCAGCTCCTCAGAATATGATGCAGAAACACACAGTTAGCATTCTGTGAGCAAAATGAAATCCATTGTGAACTCAGTAAGCATTAAATGGCAACAAGACAAAACAAAACTAGGTAACTGAAAGAAAGACTTCAAGATACTCAGGTGAAGGGAAATAAAAACAAATATTCTTAGGAATAGAAAGGAATATTCTTAGAAAATACTTCTTTTTAAAAAAACTATTTATTTATTTGACTGTGATGTGTCTTGGTGGCAAACAAACTCTCAGTTGCAGCATGTGGGATCTAGCTTCCCGACCAGGGATCAAACCATTTGCATTGGGAGCTCAGAGTCTTAACCACTGTACCACCAAGGAAGTCTCAGAAAATGCTTATTATAGGAGAATACATTTCAACATCTGTGGAATAAATCTGAAGTGGTGATCAGAAACAGATTTGAAATTGCTGAAGGCTTTTATTATTGAATAAGAAAAAATGAAATGACCTGAGAATTCAACTCAGGCAGTTAGGATAATTAAACAAGGAGGAAACTCTAAAAATGTGATTTAGAGAAGTAACTGAAAAACTCATAAGGGTAAGGGTGCAGTGAGGTGTCTGGATACAAAAATAAAGTTAAAAATAATAGTTTTATAAAGTTATTCTGCCTGTTGCCTTGGTTTCCTGAGAGTAGATTGCATAGATGATTCTTCCTGTTCTGAAGGAGTGTAGTAGGCCTTCTGAAGTACAGTGCATAAGGTCCAGATCATTCAGGCAAGGATGGGAAGATTTGAAATCACTTTGGAGAAATAGCTGTGTGTAAGAATGACACCACAGACAGGGAAATGACAGATATGAAAAAAATGCACCATATAAAACTAATGATCACTCCTTAAATAGTTTTTCATATTAATAGGAAAATGATGAAAACTTCAGAAGAAAAAAATAGTCTTAGGAATGCAAATTAATTGTGTATTATAATATCTTTTGGTCTATCAAAGATTTACTAATAGCAGTTAATATTGATAGCGTTTGGCCCTGCTGGAGGGGTAGACACAGAGGTGCCGTGTCTTTCTTAAATATTTGAACCCCAGCCCTGACCCAGTCATCCTATATATAGCCAATTATCCTCAGAAAACACCCCTAAAGAAAAAAATGGGCAAAGGACACTTGATAGCTCAGTGAAGAGTAGCTCTTGGCTTATGGTCCCCAGACCAGCAGCACTGGCATCACCTGGGAGCTTGATAGAAGAGCAGCGCTCCGGGCCCCTCGGGAGTCAGTCAGTCACCTGTACTCCCAGTGCCCTGGGGGCTCCTGACTAAACTGCTGCCGGAAGAAGCCCCTCGGAGACCGCAGCTTAGATAAGACACACGCTGCTCTCCCCTTACAGTGTGGCGGAGGCCTGCTGGCGGGTATCTCTGGTCCAGGCCATTTTTCATGGACCCTGGTCCCCCTTTCACCATCTTGTCACTCATCTGACCCTTAAGTGGGGTTTGTCCATATCTGGGGTGCAGGCTGTGTGTCACCCATGGACCAGCTCACAGGCCAGGGGAAGAGCGGCTGAAGAATGAGGGTGCTTTGAGTCTAAGACCCGAGTGGCACACATTAATCCTCTAAGGGCTGTGAGCTCATACGGAGTCACAGGCTCTGCCGAGCTGTGGGAGAATGGAGACACAGCTCCTACTGACCCAATGCATATCCAGCCCAGGTGCTCTTGCCACGGGAGAGAAGACTCTTAGCATCAGGTACAGTGTCTCCCGGCCATGTCCCTTGATGTCCAGACTTCTGTGAATAGCCCCCTGCCTCATGCCTCACCATTCCTCCTCCCTCCCCTATGAGTGGACTCCAGGCACCTCCAGTGGCAGCAGAAAGCCCGGGACTGACTTTAGGTGAACCACACAACCGCCCTCCTCGCTCTGCCCATCAGCCGGCTGCAAGCAAACTAACAGACAAGGCTGCATGTGTCACATGGGTTACAGTGAGGGATAAATGCAGTCATGGACATTTGGAACAAAGAGGAGCGGTGCAGCTGACATCGAGGCAGTGTTCAGGAGCCCTAGGGTCCTGTTGGTTTGGGTTGGCCTGTCTGGCTACCCTTTGTTCTCTGGGAGTAGCTTGATTGCCCATTGTCCTCTTTTGGGCCTGGTTTTGCAGTTTGGAAGGTACATTGTCGTCCCTTGCCCTCACCTGCCATGTCTCAAGTGCAGACAGCCATTGGGTATACAGGCTGCGTGTTTGGTGCAGCTTCCCTGGTGCACATGGTGAAGGTGGGGGTGGGGGTCTCAGGGCTCCTCTGAGGATCAGTCATGGGTGTCTGTGAGTGGGGCTTATAGTTTGTTCTGCAAAACATTTCCCTCAAGCAGTTAACTGAAGTAGGCCTCTCACCAGAAGCTTCTAATCAGTTTCACATGAGAGTAATCTTCCTAAAGAGTTCTCCTAGACCGGAACTTCTCACGCTCTTATTCCCTGACTTTGTACTTGACTCATTTGTCTCTTCCTTCATTTAATGGACCAAGATTAGACATACCGTAGGCCGGGGGAGAGTGGCTCCTTTACTCTAACCTGTGCAGTTGGACAGACCCATCTTGTCTGTCCCTGCGTGGACTCTGAGAAGGGCTGTCACTGCCTGTCCCCTTGCCACCTCTGTTTGCAAGCAGAATAGGTCTCACCTGAGCATCCCTTGGTCTGGTGTGTGCATGCTCAGTTGCTTCACTCGTGTCTGACTTGTTATGACGCCATGGACTGTAGCCCACCAGGCTCCTCTGTCCACGGGATTCTCCAGGCAAGAATACTGGAGTGGATTGCCATGCCCTCCTCCAGGGGATCTTTCTGACCCAGGGATCAAACTCACATCTCTTAAGTCTCCTGCATTGGCAGGCCGGTTCTTTACCATTAGTGCCACCTGGGAAGCCCTCTTGGTCTGGTTGTCGTTGTTGTTTAGTCGCTCAGTTGTATCCCACTCTTTGTGACCCCATAGACTGCAGCACACCAGGCTTCCCTGCCCTTACTTATCTCCCGGAGTTTTACTCAAATTCATGTCCATTGAGTTGATGATGCCATGCAACCGTCTCATCCTCTGTAGTTTTTTGCTAAAAGCCGGAGGAGTTCCCTGGCATATCCCAACATCCTGCCTTTTCATATCTGTTTACTCATGTGCTACAGGCGTTGTGAGCAGATGTTTTGCCCGCAAGTCTTACGAGATACTTTGTTGTGCTGTAACAATGGTTGTTAGCTCTGCGCATCTTAGTGTCTCTCCTTGTAACCGCTGCCCATCTGCTAAGCCAGTGCCATATAACTTGTCATGTTACTTCCAGGTCCTTGTTTCTGTGTTGGTTAAGACACAGGCTAAACTGCTGCAGTGGAGGCCACAGAAAACTCCATGGCTTAAATGTGGTCAGCATCTCTCTGAGAGCAGTCAGGGGCTGCAGGGTCCAGGCTGGGGGGCAGCGCTTCTCCATACCCTCATTTGGGGACCTGAAGTCCTTCTGTGTGGCTGCTGGGTGGTCTGGTACAGTGTTGCCTTGTCTGTGTGGTCCAAAGGTTGTAACTCACTTGTGTTCCATCCACAGAGGGCTGGGAGGGGGTGGATTGGTGCCCTACATAGTCTAAAGGCAGAGATGCAGCAGTGTTTCTGCCCATCTCCTCCACCTTAGCCACACAGCCCCCTTCTGCTGCACGGCCAGCCAGACGCTGACTGTAAAGGATGGAGACGACGGACTGGAGGGGCCCTGAGCTGCCTGGCCCGGCCAGCAGAAAGGAAAATGAGATTCTACTCCTTTGACAGTAATACTGAACATTTATTAAGTTCTGATTATCAGTACACCTTATTTTTGTTGTTGTGTAGTTGCTCAGTCATGTCCGGATCTTTATGACCCTGTGGACTCTAGTCTGCCTGGGTCCCTCTGTCCATGGAATTCTCCAGGCAACAATACTGGAGTGGGTTGCCATTTCTTTCTCTAGGGCATCTTTCCAATCCAGGGATCAAACCCACATCTCCTGCCATCTCCTGCATTGCAGGCAGTCTTTACCACTGAGCCTCCTGGGAAGCCCACACCATATTTTATCCTCAGAATAAATGTATGAAGAAGGTCCTGTAATTCCCATTTTACTGATAAGGAAAGTAAGGCTTAGAAAAGCTGAGTAAATTGTTCAGGGTTCAACCTGAGGTTGGCCTGACCCCAGAGTGTGTGCTCTTAACCACAGGGCTGTGCCCCGGCTCAGGGCAGTCACAGAAATACAAATGAAAACATTACATTGCCAAGAAGACATAATTTTGTACTCCCTGAGAGCACAGAGAAAGGTATTCTTAGGCCCTCTCCTGGTAAGGAAATTTGGCAATGTAGTCCAGTTGTTAAAAGTTCAAATCCCAAAAGTTTACTTCTAGAATTTTCCTGAGAAGATAGTCAGGAACTAAGATGTATTCAATATTCAATGAATATTCAAGAATATTCACTGCAGCATTATTTGTCACTGCCAAAATAAAACAAGGCAAGCAAAACCCTCAAATTATAACTGAAATGCCCAGCAATAGTGGGTTCATTGGGCAAATCTTAGTTCTGCTGCAGCTGTCAGGTAGCATGTTTTACAAGTCTGTCCGCTGTTGGGGAAAATGTCGTGGTTTGCTGTTAAGTTTAAAAAGTGAGTGAAAGTCACTCAGTCGTGTCCAACTCTCTTGCGACCCCATGGATTATACAGTCCATGGAACTCTCCAGGCCAGAATACTGGAGTAGGTAGCCTTTCCCTTCTGCAGGGGTTCTTCCCAACCCAGGGATTGAACCTAGGTCTCCTTCATTGCAGGTGGATTCTTTACCAGCTGAGCTACCAGGGAAGCCAAAGTTTAAAAAGTAGGTTAGCAGATAACATAAGCAGAGTAATACTTTCAAAGTTTTTATATTGATGTATAAATGTTGTGAGTACTTATCTCTGAGTGGTAAGATGTATGTGATTTTATTCCTGTGCATTCTGTTTTCTGAATTTTTACAGTGAACAAATCATATTTGTTTTGTACTTAAACATCACAAAAAATTTTTTAAAAATCTATTAGTTTACATTTGTACTTTCCACTTAAGAAAGAAACAAACCATGGAAATTAATTTCATGTCTTTTTTTAAGGAATAGCTTTAGTCTGTGATGGGTTAACCCTGACATGACTGTCCTATCCCCAGTCAGGAGCTAGCAGAAACCACCGTGGTGGCCAAAGTGAACGGGGAGCTGTGGGACCTAGACCGCCCACTGGAAGGGGACGCCACTGTGGAGCTCCTCACCTTCGAGGATGAGGAGGCCCAGGCCGTAAGTGTCTGAAAACCAGCCGACCACACTTTGGGTGTTTATGTTGTCACATGTACCATGTACAAAGTCACACACTAAAGGGTAGAACAGTGGGTTTTGTGATTTTCTAAGTTTGGTGTTTATTAAATCTAACATGACACCGTATTTAAAAGTGATTCATAAAGAGCATGAACAAAATATGTAATGAAATACATAGCTTGCATATGTGTGTTAGTTTTTCTCACTTAAGGACTAACCCTAACAACTGTCACCTAGCTTCATACCAGATGCCACCCTGGAACTTGTGAACCTGTGTTGATTTCCTCAGTCAGCTGACCAGCGTCCATGTGCATGTGCCAATGCTGTGGGCAGCAGAGTTCACGACAGGTGGAAGGGATAGTTAGTAAGCAAATCAAACAGCTGGATGCTTTCAGGTAATGTCAGCCTCTGGAGAGCATCAAGTAGGAGCCAACCCGGAGCAGCTGTGGTGGCTGGCCTAGCAGGTGGTTTTAACCCTTTTCTGAGGTCAGAATCCTGCTGAGACCTGAGCAGTTTCCCACACAGGTGGGCTCTTTGTTGACCTGTAGACACGGTTCTTCAACAGTGGGCTGCTAAGGGTCTTCAGTCTGTCAGAAATATGGGTGGTGGGGACAGGGGACCACCAACCTTAATGTTCTACAGAGGGGTCAGCCTCTTTGACATTCTGTCCCCCTGTGTTCAGTGACATCATGAAAGATAAAGCATTTATCATATTATCACGGGAAATCTTTCTAGAGTGCCTGATCAGTCCACCCCTGGCACCTGGTGTCACGCCGTAGGGCTTGCAGAACAGTTGTGGTTGCTCGTGAAAATGAGAATGTTACCTCCCAGACTCCAGCCCCAGCCTTGGTGTACATTATCTAGGCGAGACCCAGTAACCTTGTCACAAAGGTACCATGTTAATAGTACGCAGAGCTCAGATGAGTCAGTAACTTTTCCTTCCTTCCAGGAGACTTCTCTGCCTTCCTGAGTCCTCTTTCAAACTTCACGGCCACGTGCTGTTTAGTGTGGGAAGACTGCTGTGTAGACACAAAATCTTGTTAATGTGAGCGATGTCAGGAACAGCCACTGTGGCCGCATCTCTGGCTAGAAAGGCTGGCCAGAGGAGGAGGAGGAAGGGGGCCAGTGCTCACACTCTTAGGTGGCCCTCTGCACTGGGCCTGAACCAGCTCTGGGTGGATGCTCTGCTCATGGTCCAGCTCTCTTCTGCTCATGGTTGAGGCCCAGAAGGAAGTGGTTTAGGAGCCGGGCTCAGCGCTGCTCAGAGTGAAGCTGCAGGAGAAGCACATAGCTGGCTGGTGGGGCAGGGGGTAGGGTGGGGGCACAGTGGGCTCCAGGGAGGGCTCAGAAACAGGCAGGTCTCAGCAGTCTGCAGAGACGACACTGCCTGTGTCCTGGGGTCTGTCACCTGATGCTGTACCCACATGCTCACTTGTCCCTGCATCAGCCTGGTGACTTCCCATGATGCAGCTGTGGCCTGGCCTCTGTTGCTCCACAGGTATATTGGCACTCCAGCGCCCACGTACTCGGGGAAGCCCTGGAGCTCCACTACGGGGGCCTCCTGTGCTGCAGTCCACCTGGCGATGGTGGCTTTCACTACGATGTGTACATGGAAGACAGGTAACCCTGAAAGCTTACTTGTCAGTGCATTGAGTATCTGATAAGGACATGATTACAGATGGGGTAACCATTTGTGAAAATTATTATTTTTTATGACTGTAGATTTAAGGGTAACTTCTCAAGTGGTTTTCTTTCTTTGCTCAAGAAAGACATGACATACTATTTATCTGACCTGAGGTTTGTTAGGGCAGACTACCGATTCGGACCAGAGTGGTCAGGTTAATCCCCGGAGAGCAGGTAGTCCTCACCGTGATGGTCAAGGGCGACGTGCCCCCCAGCCATACATCCCATGGCTGGTGCCAGCAGGGCCAGTCTCTGGAGGTTTCACATTCCCTAGGTCTGTGCATGAACTCCCGAGCCACAGGCCCCACCTCAGCCCTCCTTACCTCTCACAACTGTATATGGAAAGTCAGACTGAAACTTCCCTACGCCACCCTGGTCCTCATCCCCCACCCTGTCACTCCATCCAGTTCTGCCTGTTTTGACCCTCAGTGGTTCTCCCTGACCCACCTTCTCACTCCTTCTGCCTTGGCATAGACCCCTGGCATCTGTAGCCTGGTTGCCTGTGGTTCATTCTACCTCCAGCTGTTACCTCCATGCTGCCCGTGTGCCCAGTGCTCTGTAGCTCCTCTCCTAGCCCAGCCAGCTCGTCCCCTGTGAGCACCCCTACCCACCAGAGTCATCTCAGAATGTGTAGATGCCTCTTGTGTGCTGGGCTTGGTGCTGCTGACTACCCAGTGGAGATCAGCCTGTCCTCATGGGCTCAGCCATCCAGTCGGGGGAGACAGACGGAAACAGACGCACCACCACTTGCTGCGGGAGGTGACAGAGCTGTGGGACAAGCAGGTGGGCACTCAGCCGAGAGCTCAGTGACCTGGAAGTAGGGTGGGACGGAGGATGGCAGGGAGCTGTCCCAGAGCATCCCAGGCCTCTGTGCGGCAGCCTTGAGCCCAGGGGTGGTGGGATGCGGCCCATGAGACTGGAGGGACATGAGCACAGATGGTGGAGGAGGGAAGGAGTGGGGGTTGGGGGGACATGTTGAGTCTCTGAAGTCCTGGACCATAGAGCACCACGTTCTTCTGGGAGAAAGTTGATCTGCTGCTGACTAGGGCCTCAGGTCACAGGTGCTGTCCCAGCGTCCGTGGTGACTGCTCCTGCTTCCCTGCAGGGCCGTGTCCAGCGCAGAGCTGCCGGTGCTGGAGAGCCTATGCCAGACCATCATCAAAGAGCAGCAGCCGTTTGAGAGACTGGAAGTCAGAACGGAGGTCCTCCTAGACCTATTCAAGGTGATTATGGGGGGACTTGAGCAGTAATAGCACACCACTGCTTTAAACAAATGGTCAGTCCCTGCTCACCACATTCCTAACGCTTGGTTCAGATTTGTAATGCAGATATAAGTAGGTGAAGGGCCGGGAGAGTAGTGTTCATTTGTGTTTTATAAATCTGATTAATCCTGAGTGTTGTTAGTACTCCAGCTACTGAATTCAACAATGTTAATAATGCCATATAAAATTCTGGCTTTTCCTCTTTTCATTGGGGTTTTCGGCTAGTTTTTAAAATAGATTCTAGCCTGTAGTAACCTGTGTAAAACTTGAACTTTCTCTTTTTATTGTTCAAACTAATTTGCTTAAATATCTTCTAAATTTTATTTTTAAAATCATAAATATCAAAGAAAACATAATTTGAGAGTGCATGCAGTATTGTTAGTTTCGTGGGCTTTAATTGAAAAGTAGATTTGGATTTGGTAAAAGTTGCAGCTGCTTTTTTTCTGTGTGTGGTAAACTATCCAAAATATAAAAATTACTGTTTGAGTCGCACTCTAAGTGGACAGTTCTGTGGCGTTAAGTACTCGCACACTGTTGTGCAGTCACTGTCAGCACCCATCTCCAGAGCTCTGCACCTCCCAGCAGTTACACCAAATCTCCTTTTCCCACCCCTTCTGTCTCCTTGAGAGTGACTGCTCCAGGGCCTCATCAGGTGGAATCACACAGTAATCGTCCTTGTGAGTGGCCTATCTCAGTGTTGTGTGCTCAAGGTTCATTCATGTCATACCAAGTGTCAGAATTGCCTTCCTCTTTTGAGGCTGAATAATATTCATTCCACTGTATGGATGGACTACCTTTTATTTATTCACTCTTTGTCAATGGACATCTCTTGACTCCTAAGAAAAATGTTACTACATGGGTGTACTCGTATCTCTTCAGGTCCACACTTTCAGTTCTTCAGTGTATACCCAGAAGTGGAGTTGTTGAATTATATGGAAATCTTGTGTTTAATTTTTTGATCAACTGCCATACTGTTTGCCACAGTGGTTGTATTGTTTTACATTCCTACCAGCATGAGAGTTCCAGTTTCTCTGTATTCTTGCTAATTTGACTTTTTCTTTCTCTCCCTTCCCTTCCCTTTCCCTTCAAAAAAATAAAATAACCATTCCAGTGGGTGTGAGGAGGTACCCCATTGTGGTTTTTATTTGTATTTCTCTGATGGCTGGTGAGAGCATCTTTCCACACGCCTGTTGCCATTTGTAGATCTTCTTTGGAGAAATGTCTGTTCAGTCCTTTGCCCATTTTTGAATTGGGTTGTTTGTTTTTTGGTGTTGAGCTGTAGGAGTTCTTGATATATTCTGGATATTAATCTCATACTAGATATGTGATTTGCAATTATTTTCTCGCATTCTTTGGGTTGAGAACAAAACTCCATCAAAACTTTGTGAAGAAAAATGAGTTGATTTTAATATGTAAGTACACAACAGTTAAATCATACAAATCCATTTTTTTCTCTAAACAACTACCTCCTTTAAGTAGTTATTTAATACAAAGTATCTGGCACAATAGTAATAATGATGAAAGCAGGAAAGTGTCTGCTAAGTTTTTCAATGTAATAATATTATTTACTGTAGACTTTGTTTTGATTTTTTGTACAAATTCATAATGTAGCTATGTCTTCAGAATTTTATTTATTCCATGTAGTTAAAGCTGAAATCTAGAACAGTCCAGTCTAATAATGCCATTCCCAAGTCTGAGCCCTATATGTCATCTGAAATTTTCTGGTAGCCACATTTTAAAAGTAAAAGAGAGGTGAAATTAATCTTTATAACATTTTATTTAACTCAATCAAAAAATATTACTTCAACATGTAACCAACATAAAAAGTGATTTTATATTCTTTTTTTTCACATTGTGCTTCTGGAATCCAGTGTGTCTTGGCCTGGTGGTGCCCCTCAGTTCAGATCAGTTACGTATCAAATGCTCAGGGCCCACACAGGCTCTGGGCACCCATCCTGGATGGTACAGAACCGGGCACTGGGCTCCATGTGTCCCCAGGGTCTCAGCACCTAGAACATAGCAGATGCCCATTCAGTGTTTGTTGGAAAAAGGGAACATTTTTTCCCACTTAAACGTTTTATGTGATACTATTTGGGTGTATTTTTCTTCGTAGTACAATAAATTTAAATGCCGCATCCTGAAGGAGAAGGTGGACACGCCAACGACCACAGTTTACAGGTAACATGTGTGTGAATTGTAAACTCTGCTCAGTGATGCATCTGAAGGCGTTAGCATAAACAAGTTTGTCTTTGAGTGGGAGGCCTGATTGTAAGTTTGCATGGTTGATAGAGTGCTCCTTTGTGTGGGGACTCTGAAATGTCACCGCAAAGGGAGGTAATGATTTTCTCATTTGTATTTATCAGGATGGTACTTAAAAGCCACAGGTTTCCCTGGTGGCTCAGCAGTAAAGAATTCTCCTCCCAAAGCAGGAGATGTGAGTTTGATCTTGCTTTGGAAAGATTCCATGGAGGAGGAAATGGCAACCCACTTCAGTATTTCTTGCCTGGAGAATTCCATGGGCAGAGGAGCCTGGCGGGCTACAAGTCCATGGGGTCACAAAGAGACACAACTTAGCAACTAAACAACAACAAACCCACATTCTGTTTTTGGGATGTTAGCTGTAGAGCGCCTCTCTCCCTGCAAGTGAGACCGTGTTCTCAGGGCCTCATGTTTTGGGGGGCTGTTCAGGAAAGGAATTCTGTTCATCCTCCTGTGTTCATATTGGGGGGCAGCGGAGCTGTAGTGGACCATCTCCTCAGGTATGATTCTCTGCCTCTCACCACACTCTCCACTGTTTGGGGGCCAAGAGCATCACCCTCTATGCATCAGTAAGGCAGAATAGAAGTGGTGTATAGCAAAGACCACGGGAGTCCAAACCCAAACCCTTAGTTCTGCTGGACATCAGGCTCCCAGCCCCCCTTACTGTCCATTTGTTCAACTGCCTTACGGGTACTGCTTGTCCCCACTCCTGGTGTCCCCTTCTTTGACTGCTTGTGACCTTCTCAGTCCCATCAGAGAAGACTTGTCCCTGTAATGAGTATGACCACAGATGTCCTGCACAGGGCACTTCCTTTCCACACTCAAGTGCTGTGGTTCTGTGACTTAGCTGTACCATGAGTAAAGTCACACCCCTTCATGCACAGCTGTGCAGTGTATTTCCTGAAGGGTCATGTGAACATGTGGCCACTTTATGCTGCAGGTGGATACCATGTTTGTTTTTACCACTCTCCAGTGACCTGATAAGATTTTATTATTACCTGTAATATAAATAAATGTTAGCATACCATTTCAGAGTTTAAAAACAAATGAGGAAATTGACAAGATATGGTGAGCTTTAAATTTCTGACTTTTAATACTTGATCTTTTGGGGTTTTTAAGTACAATTTTATTTATTTATGGCTGTGCTGGTTGTCATTGGTGTGAGGGGGCTTTCTCTAGTTGTGGAGAGTGGGGGCTACTCTTTGTTGCTGGCCCTAGAGCACCCAAATTTCAGTAGTTGTGGCACACAGGCTTAGTTGTTCTGCAGCATGTGGAATATTCCCGGACCAGGGCTTGAACCTGTGTCCTCTGCATTGACAGATGGATTCTTACCCACTGCATCACCTGGAGAGTCCCTTTTGTTTTGTTTTAAACGTTTCTGAGGTCAGCATTAACACTTAATTTTTCAATTGGAATGGCTTGTATTTAATTTTTTGAACATAAATGACTTTTTTCCCTATGGGGTTATTTAAAGATTGGCTTATTTAAGTCTTTCTTACTAATCAGGCATTTTTTTCCATTTCTCTTGAGCATTAACTTACAATCTCCTTTTTGGACAGAGAACAGTGCATAAATCCTGGTCATTCAAAGAAATGGTGTTTTCATGGTTAAAACTTCATTCTGCTTTGATGAATAATCCAGTCCCTTTGTGTGTTCATTATGATTTTTAACTTTTTAACTAGTGAACTTTAAAAATATTTAAAATTAGTTGGAATAGTTAAGGAACAGCTTTCTTTTTTTACTAAATTTCCCTTAAATTGGTTGATGTTAAGTCACCTTCTCTGTGACCTGCATTATTGGTATCTTAACTCTGTTCATGTTTTTGTACTTGGAGAAGAGTCTACTCTTGTTAGGGTTTTATGGCCCCTTGTTCATTACAGGTGCAGACAAATGCTTTATAGTGGTTTCATCTCTCATATAAACTTTTGCATCATCTAATAAACCAAAATACAAGTAGGCATTTTGTTATAAAACCAGAGTGCCCAAAAACAAGCAAAGAAAACCCTTAAATTTATATATTTATAAATAAATATATATGAGTTTATTTTTTGGAGCAGTTTTAGGTTTGCCGTAGAATTTAGAGGACGGGCAGAGAGTTCCCATACACCCCTGCCCCTGTGTGCATGTGGCTTCCCCATGGTCAAGATCCCCCCCATCCAGAGTGTGACATGAGTTACAGTCCATCTACACTGCCATGTCTCTGTCACCCGAGTCCAGCATTTACATAAGTTTCACATTTGGTGGTGTGCGTTCTGTGAGTCTGGTGAAGTTTATTTTTGACATCAAGTGAATGTATTTTTTTATATCTTTCATGTAATTTTGGTTTTGAAAATTAGCATAGAGCAGGAAAGTGGATTTTTGATTTTCCAATAGTGAAAATTTGTAAGAGCCTTGTGTGTGTCCAACTGTTTGCGACTGAATGGACTAAAGCCTTCCAGTCACCTCTGTTCATGGAATTTCCCAGATAAGAATACTGGAGTGGGTTGCCCTGTTCTCCTCCATTGGACCTTCCTAATCCAGGGACTGAATCCAGGTCTCTTGTGTCTCCTGCATTGGCAGGCAGGTTTTCTACCACTGAGCGACCTGGGAGGCCCTCTAAGATGTGACAGCCTCAGGATGTGACAGTGAAAAGAGGTGTGAAAAGAGGTGTGTCTGTCTGCAAAGTTTCTTTCCAAAGATTCTGTGGCTTCTGTATGCGACCTGAAGGGGGAAGATTGGGATCTGAGACCGGGTGACTCACCTCTTTCCTGCATCCCTAAATTAAAGATGGATTCATACTAAGTTGTTCCTGAATTAAACATTGCCCCAGAACATAGAACATGGTTTCCAACCAATAGTCCCCAAAGCTATAACTGTGTCTGGACATGTTTTAAATATTTCACCACAGGTGCGGTCCACTAGTTGAACTTTGTAAAGGCCCTCACATAAGACACACTGGAAATATTAAGATCATAAAAATTTTCAAGGTAAGGATTGATTTTTTTCTGATACAGTAAACTTTAAGTGAACTAGATAAGATAGTAGTTCAATAATGTCTTGTATAATATGAGCACTGTGTCACTTTCAAACACCACATGTGTATTTGACTTTTGTATGGGTTTCTAAAAATAATAGTGTTTTAGGATTGATAATTAGAACATTTTACATTGCTTTTGATTGTCTGTCATTTAACATTACTGTAAGTTTCACAGCACATTTTGTTTTTATCTGTGAAGATATTCTGTATACTCTTGTTTTCTTGAGTTCTAATGTGAACAAGAGTGTTTATCTGCCATGAGAATAATATAATGTAGGAAAAGGAAGGGAAAAAGAGATGGAGTGGTGTGATGCCGAAAACACGCTGTGAAAGCGAGAGGCCTGGGACTGATGGAGCTGGCTTGACCTGCCTTGGTTTTCTCAAGGCGGGAGGAGGCGGGTGGAGGAGGGGGCTGGCCACCACACCCCTTTCTCCTTCACTGCCCTCTCCTGGGTGATGCACGTGGTGCTTGCCTTTCCTCGTTTTCACATTTTCTTTCTCACTTTCCACTCCTAGAACCCACAGCAGACTGACTGTAATTTACTGATTAATGGTGTAATTTGGAGTGGGAGGTTTAGTTAGAAACAATCTAAGATTCTAAGTCTACAGGAAGTCCCCTGTGAGTCAGCTGTGCTGATGTTCAGATGGGAAGTTGTGTGTAGTCCCTCATCCCTTGGTGTCCAGGATGCCTGACTTATATCCAAGTCCACAGCAGTTCAGGCCCCTGTTTAGAACCACCTGCACATATTAGTATTTCAGAGCAGTTTTACTGGTCACCAAGAGTTTGACGTGTTTACCCGAATCTTGTCTGATGTTTAGAATTCCTTGGCATACTGGGAGGACAACCCTGAGATGGAAATGCTGCAGAGAGTCTACGGGGTGTCCTTTCCTGATGAGCAGCGGATGGCTGCCTGGGAGGAGCTCCAGGAGGAAGCCGGGGCCCGGGACCACAGGACAATCGGGAAGGTGTGCCCGCCAAGCGCTGCTGCACTGCTCTGGGACCAAGGCTCAGACCCAGCCTGTCTTAATGCTGACATTTCTTCTCCCCTCCTGTCTTTTGTTTCCCTAGCACTCGTGGTTTGCTGCTGAGTTCTTTCACACTCCTACCCCCAGTGTCTACTAACCTTTTTCCTTTTTATATTTCTATTAGATGTAAAAAATTGCACTTCTCTCTTATTTTTATAGTTATATAAAATTTTTTAAAGAAAAAAGAGTGTATACCTGATAGTATACTTTGTATTTGGGAAGCAGAGCAAGAACAGTACTTGCAGGCAGGTGGACCTGGTTTAGCTCTCAGTCCTCCAGTGGGAGCTGTGATGTGAGGGTGCGGCGCTCACTGTGGAGCTCCGTGTCCTTGGCTCTGCTGGGGGGTGTGTGGGGTGGCAGGAGGACGGACACTGGAGGGTGGTGGCCACCCAGGCGGGCTCTCAGCATGACGGCCATGCAGAGGTCACTGCCACTCAGACCCACCTCCAGCAGTGAACTTTCCTGACCTTTTTGCCATGTCAACTGCTCATGAGATCCATATCTCAAGGTGCCAAGTAAGAAATCGGCAGTAAATCCCAGGTGAAATAAAAGTTAAGTTCAAAGCTGAGTAATCATAAATATGAGTTGTAACTTCACATGCACTGTTACATAAGTCAGATTCAAGTATTTGGAATGTCAGCTATTAGAACTTGGAAATAACAGTGTATGTTTTATTCTAGCATATCATATGTGTACAGTAAATATATAACAGCAGTGGAATTTGAAACGCAATTACTTTTTCAACCTAGGAACAGGAACTTTTCTTTTTCCATGATCTGAGCCCTGGAAGCTGTTTCTTTCTTCCTAGAGGAGCCTTCATTTATAACACACTGATAGACTTCATACGAGTAAGTAATTTTTAAAATTATTCTATGCTTATTCAGCTCCATTTTGTATTTTACCATTTTCTCTCATCATAAAATAGCCAAGCCTTTCCATTGATTTTATTTTAATAATACCTAGAATTTTGAACCTCAAAGAGAAATGCTGCATTCTGCCTTCAACTAAAAACATTGAGACCATTAGTATTTTCCTTGGATTTCATTAAATGTACCTCTTGTCAGTTTGAGTTTCTAGAGCACATATGATACAAAGATAAACTTTAGGCCAACTGTGGAACTTCTTGTGAGAGAGGAAGGAGGAAATGTTCTGTGTGACACATTACCACCTGAGATTGCAAATGATGGTGACATTAAGAGTATGTTTGACACAACTCCAAATCTCCATACGTTTTAGATTAAGGTTGAGGTGGAATATCCTGAGACTGCCACAAAAGCACTGAAAAGCCTGCTTCCATTTCCAGTATCCCATCTTTGTGAAGCAGGGTTTTTTGCAGTGAAAGTGAAAGGCATTCAATCATGTCCAACTCTTTGCAACCCCATGGACTGTACAGTCCATGGAAATCTCCAGGCCAGAATACTGGAGTGGGTAGCCTTTCCCTTCTCCAGGGTATCTTCCCAACCCAGGGATGATCAAACCCAGGTCTCCTGCATTGCAGGTGGATTCTTTACCAGTTAAGCCACAAAGGAAGCCCAAGAATGCTGAAGTGGATAGCCTATCCCATCTCCAGCGGATCCTCCCAAACCAGAAATCAAACCAGGGTCTCCCACATTGCAGGCGGCTTCTGCAGTGACAGCAACCAAAACGGGATTATGGAGTAGGCTAGACATATGCAACACACTCCAGGTGTCACTGTTTTCCATCGCCCCTAGATGGGACCATCCAGGTGCAGGAAAACAGGCTCAGGGCTCCCACTGATTCTGCATTATGGTCAGTTGTATAATTATTTCATTATATATAACAGTGTAATAACAATAGAAACAAAGTGCACAATAAATGTGGACTTCCCAGGTGGGACTAGTGGTAAAGAATCCACCTGCCAATGCAGGAGACCTGGGTTTGATCCCTGGGTTGGGAATATCCCCTAGAGGAGGGCATGGCAACCCACTCTAGTATTCTTGCTTGGAGAATTCCATGGACAGAGGAGCCTGGTGTGCTACAGTCCATCCATGGGGTCCCAAAGAGTCAGACATGACTGAGGTGACTTCACACACGTGGACACACACAATAAATGTAATACATTTATTACATCCCAACCTCCCCTACCCCTGGAAAAATTGTCTACCCCAAAACTGGTCCTGGTGCCAAAAATGTTGGGGACTGCTGTTATATACTACATACCATTATATTATGAAATGAATATGTGTGTGTGTGCTTGCATGCTAAGTTGCTTCAGTCGTGCCCAACTCTTTGCGACTGTGGTCTGGAGCCTACCAGGCTCCTCTCTCCATGGGATTCTCCAGGCAAGGATACTGAAGTGGGTTGCCCATATAAAGTGACTATACTTATATACTGAACATACATGAATCTTTCCTTTATGATCCATAAGGTACCACGCTTAAAACCAAGGGCATATTAGCTGTGAACTGATGTAAGGCATGATCCTGAATTTAGCAGTCCTTGTCTGGATATCTCTTGCCTGCAGTTATGCCCTGCCCCAGCAGATTTCAGCTCTGCGCCCCTGTCTCCTTTAGGAGCAGCACCACCAGCGCAGCTTCACGGAGGTCCTGTCCCCCAACATGTACAGCTGCAAGCTCTGGGAGGCCTCTGGACACTGGCAGCATTACAGTGAGAACATGTTCACCTTTGACATCGACAAGGACACTTTCGCCCTTAAGCCCATGAATTGCCCAGGGCACTGGTGAGTATGAAAAATGAAGCAGATCTGTACCTAGCAGGTACTTCACTATAGTTAGTTTTTAATGTTATTTTGCTTTTTGGAGTTAAAAGGGTCCTTTAGCATGAAGAACGGTGTTTAGAAATTATCTTTACCAAGTTGTTTCATTCTGGAGGATGAATTTACTTTTAAAATATGTTTGCTCTTTGCCAGATGTGGGCTGTTGGCTGGAAAACATTTAGTATTTTGTGCTTCTCAGAGGATAATATTACCCATCAATTTTATAAATTATTACATTTCTCTTCCCAGTGGTAATATACTTCAAATATGCACATTTGCAGAACATTTAGTTCTTACGTGCTAGTTGGGTGATTATAACAAGGCCCGTGAGCTCACAGTCAGTGACTGGATTTAATTGATTCTAAGATGCATTCCCCTCCGTATCTCAACATCCCTGAAATTGAGATGTGTCTTATAGTTGGTATCTTAGCATTATGCCACATTTTAATTCATGGCTGTGTTCTTTCTTGGTTGTACATAATATAATGGTCCATCTTACAGTCAAGGTTGTCTTAGAGTCTATGAAAGAATGTAATTATCATAAAGCTGCATAGGATGCGAATGCAACCTTGTCAGAGAAGTAGATTTTACAACTGGAAGTAAACAGGTACAATTTTCCACCAAAGAATGTAGCTTCATATCAACATACACAGTTTCAGAAAATTGACCTTAGAAGGTAACTGCTTGAAAGAAACCTCTGAATACTGAAGAAAACTCTTTGCCTTCTTCAGTAAAGACTAAAGGAAGTTCAATTCTGTGGTAACTGCATATAAAAGATATATATTTATCTTTAGTTTTATGAAAACTTATATATAAATATTCTATAGCCTCTTTTTTTAAACAAAGGTGGAGACTAAAACCTAGTGCTTTGCATTCTCCAAAATTCCTGTATTAACTACTTCTTAACTCATTTTCCCATTGGGTACTAGTTGAAGCTATGATTTCAGTATTATTACAAGAAAGCTGAACACAATCAGAGTGTGTAATTTTGTATTTTCTTATCTCAGAACAAGGAATCAGGACCACAGTGGCTTAGCGGTGATGGGATGTGGGAGCGAGGGTTGCTTCCTGCAGAAGAGAGGCCTTTTATGCAGAGAGAGTATTAGCGGGGTGCTTTAGACATAGCCATTTCCTTCTGGAGCTCATGAGCAGAGTGGAGAAGGAACAAATACACAGACAGACAGTTATTGAAAGAGTAAGACCAGTGTCAAAAGTGTGGCAATTCTGGCTGTTCTTGGAGCCTGAAGCTCGACTGACCAGCCCTTCTGGGGAGTGTCCAGGGCTGCCTCACTTAGGAAGTAGCCTTTGAAATGGATTGTAGATGATTAGTGCAAATGGGTGAATGAGAATAGGGAGCAGTATTTCTGGAGGAGCTGATTGGGTTCTTTCTCAGAGTGTGCAGTGATGTAAATACAGCATTCAGTAATTCATGGGAGAAGAAATTTCTTTTAATTGGTCATCTAAGAACCAGAATCAGGTGTTTACAAATCCTGAGTCATTTAATTGTTAACTTACTAACATTCAGATGGTTACTGCATCTCTTCTGCAGTAAGGAAACACTGTGTGCCCCTGTGTCTTTTCTAGTCTGATGTTTGCCCATCGTCCACGGTCTTGGAGGGAAATGCCGATCAGACTTGCTGACTTCGGGGTTCTTCACAGGAACGAGCCATCAGGAGCTCTGAGTGGCTTGACCCGCGTCAGGCGCTTCCAGCAGGATGACGCTCACATCTTCTGCACAGTGGGGCAGGTAGACGGGAACTCGGGGGCATGGTCAGCACAGGTCCACAGTGGAGTAGGTAAACAGGAACTAAGGGAGGCGAGGTCAGCCCGGGTCCATGTTAGGGCAGGTAAACGAGGACTCAGGGAGGCGTGGTCAGCATGGGTCCTGTGTGGCTACCTTAGACGCATTGCTGGGCCTTTCAGAGTTGCCGTGAACTGAGTTGTTCAGTCTAGTCTCCGAGGTCCCAGCTGTTCCAACACATTCTTTTGTATCGTTTTTTTAGATTCCATATATAAATAATCTCATATGAATTTTGTCTTTCTCTGTCTTACTGCACTTAGTATGATGATCTCTAGGTTTATCCATGTTGCTGCAAATGGCATCATTTCTTTCTTTTTATGGCTGAGTAATATTCTGTTGTGGATATGCACCATATTTTCTTTATCCATTCCTCTGTCAGTGGTTGTTTAGTTTGCCTCCATGTGTTGGCTATTGTGAATAGTGCTGTGGTGAACATTGGGGTGCATGTGTAGTTTCAAATTAGAGTTTTCATCTTCTGGATATATGTCCAGGAGTGGAATTGCTGGATCATATGACAATGCTATTTTTAGCTTTTTAAGGATGCTCCATACTGTTCTTCATAGTGACTGTACCAATTTATATTCCAGCAACAGTGTAGAAGGGTTCCCTTTTCTCCACACCCTATCCAGCATTTATTATTTTATAGACATTTTGATGATGGCCATTCTGACTAGTATGAGGTCATACCTCATTGTAGTTTTCATTTGCATTTCTTTAATAATTATTGATGTTGAGCATTTTTTCATGTGCCTGTTGGCCATTTTTATGTCGTCTCTGCTGTTTAGGTCTTCTGCCCATTTTTGGATTGGGTTGTTTTTCTTGACATGAAGTTTATTTTTTTTTCTTTTAAGCTTCTTCCAACTTTATTAACAGTAATTATTAAGTAACATTATTTTAAGGGTATTGGTGAAATTTTGGATGTGTTTGTTTTTCAGTTTTGCCTGGAAGTTAGAATTTACTTTTTCAGGTTTTCATCTTAATTCAAATTCAAATTGCCATGCAAAGGGCCACTATTAGATGGTTTCACCTAATAGATAGTTATAGACCCCTCCAATCAATAATGGAGTACACATTCTTTGAAAGTGCTCATGGGACATTTCCCAAGATAGACCATATTCTGGGCCATAAAATGAGTCTCAATAAATTTAAAGGGGTTCAGTTCATGCAGAATATGTTCTCTGGGGCTTCCCTGGTGGCTCAGTGGTAAAGAATCTACATGCCGATGCAGGAGACATGGGTTTGATCCCTGGTCTGAGAACTAAGATCCCACATGCTGTGGGCAGCTAACCTAGTGTGCCACAGCTAGAGCTTGTACTCTGAAGCCTGTAAGCCCCAACTACTGAGTCCATATACCCTAGAGCCCATGCTCCACAAGAGAAGTGACCGCAACAAGAAGCCCAAGCACTGCAACTAGAGAGTGGGCCCTGCTCACCACTAGGGAAAAAGCCTGTGCAGCGATGAAGACCCAGCACAGACAAAGAAAAATTTAAATAAATAATTTTTTAAAAAGTCCTCTGGCTGCTTTGAAATTGAGGTAGAACTCAATAACAGAAAACTATCTGGAAAATCCCCAAATATTTGGAAAGTGAGTCATACGCTTCTAAATAACCATGTCAAATAGGAAATCAAAGGGAAATTAGAAAATATTGTACACTAACCTGTGCACAACACAAGTTTGAACTGCCCCTGTCTATTTCTACACAGAAGTTTTTATGAATACATACAGCACTGCTCCGTGAGTCACAGTCAGCTAAATCTGCAGGTGTGCAACTGCAAACTGAGGACCAACTGTACAGTTATGTATGGGTTTTTCATTGTGTGAGGGGACAGTACTCCTAACCCCAGTCATGTTCAAGGGTCAGCTCTATACCAAATGAAATGTAAAAGAAACACAGTATATCAGGATTTGTGGGATGCTATTAAAATGGTACTTTAGAGAAACACCCACATTAGAAAACAAGAATGTTTTCAAAGATGTTTTCAACTTCTATTTAATAGACTAGAAAAAGGAGAGCAAATTACATTAGAGATGAGCAGAAAAAAGAAAATAATAGCAGAAAAGAAATCAGTGAAATAGAAAAAAGAAAAACAATATGCAATATCAACCCAGAGGCTGGGTCTCTAGATCAATGAAGTTCATAAACCTTTAGTTTTGTCAGAGAGAAAACTTAATTAAAAATAATCAAGACTGGAAAGTTCCCTGGAAGTCTAGTGGTTAGATCTCTGTGCTCTTACTGCCTGGGGCCTGGGTTTGATCCCTGTTTGTGGAACCAAGATCCCACAATCAACAATGTGCAGCAAAAAAAGAAGGAAAAAACTTCAGACTCAGAGATGTGACATTCCTGTAGATTCCACAGATATTAAAAGGATAGTAAGGTAATAGTATGAAAATGCTTACGCCAGTAAACTTGACAAATTAAATTAAATGAACAAATTCTTTGAAAAACACAAGCTACTAAATTTTACTCAAGAAGAGATAGATAATCTGAGTAGTCCTTTGTTTATGAAAGAAGTTGAGTTGGTAGTTAGCAACCTTTCCACAAAGGAAACTCCAGGCCCAGAAGGAATCACTAGGGAATTCTACCAAACACTTACAGGAGTCATGCCAAATTCTGCTCATTCCTGGCAGGCATTAACGGGGAACCCCTACACCCACCCTGTAATGTCAGTGGAGACTAAGTGGCACCTGGACTTCTTCACCTGGCAGTCACACGGTGCCTCCTCCACTGCCTGCTTGAGGGGGGAGATGAGACTCCTGCCAGCACTCCTCAGTGATGAGACTGCACCCTGGGATCAGTAGAAGCCACATAAGGAGTGATACCAGGACACTCCGGCAGCTCCTAGCGTCATCGGAGAAGCCTACCAGGGTGCAGAACTCCTGCTGTCACCCAGCAGTAACAGGGAGCCCCTGCCTTCCTCACAGTCCCCAGTGGGAAACCCTGACATGTGCTCCCACTCTGCAATAGCCAGGCAGTCCTCCCTCCCTGTTCCAGCAGAGTCCATAGAAGACAGCTCAAACAGGTAATTTAACTAAAATCCAAAGTCTTATAATAGCCAAAATATCCAGATTTCAGAAATCAGTCATCATGTCAAGAAGAAGAAAAATCTCAACTTGGATGAAAAAGGGCAGTGTAGGCACCCTGCTGCGGAGATGATAGGGTTATTTGAATTATTTGATGAGGCCACCATAAAAATACCTCAATAAGCAATTACAAACGCACTTGGAACAAATGCACAATTTAAAAAAATCTCAGGAAATAGAAGATATAAAGAAGAACCAAATGGAGATTTTAGAACTGAAAACTGTAATAACCAAAATGAAATATTCAGTGGATGGTTTCATGAGAAGAATGGAGGAGAGAGAGAAAAGAATCAGTGAGCTTGAAGACACCAATAGAATTGACACCAGCTGAGAGAACAGAAAAGAGACTGAGAGAAAAATGAACAGAACCTCAGAGACTGGTGGGACCATAACAAATGCCTAATATATATGTCACCAGAGTTCTGGAAAAATAGAGTAGGGTGAAAGTGAAGAAGTACTCAAAGAGGTAATGGCTGAAAACTGGCCAAATATAGCAAAAGCCATAAGCTTACAGATTCAAGTAGCTGAGAAAGTCCAAGTGGGATAAACACAAACCAGGTGGTGCAGTGGTAAAGAACCCACCTGCCAATGCAGTAGACATGGATTCAATCCCTGGATCAGGAAGACCCCCTGGAGAAGAAAATGGCTATGCACTCCAGTATTCTCACCTGGGAACCCATGGACAGAGGAGGAGCCTGGCAGGCTACAGTCCATGTGGTCACCAAAGATCAGACACGACTTAGTGACTAAACAACAACAAAGAAACATTAGACACATTAGAGCCAAACTTAGAAAAACTATAAAGAAAAAAATGAAAACAGAAAGAAGTGATACCTTAACTTCAAGAAAAAAATTAAAAATGAAATAACAGCAGATTTCTTATCAAATGAAATATAACCTACTGTATAGCGTGGGCACTCAATGCTCTGTGGTGGCAAAGAGGGGATATATATACACATGTTACTGAATCACTTTGCTGTAGAGCAGAAACTAACACAACACTGTAAAGCAGCTATACTCCAATAAAAATTTAAAAAACAAAATTCAGAGGCCAGAAGGAGGAGTCACAGTATTTTCCAAGTGTTGATATAACTCTTAAATCAGAATTCTATATCCCCCCCAAAAAAACCTTTCAGTGATGAAGGTGAAATTAAGACATTAGATCTACCTTAAAAGATTGCTGTAGGAATTTCTCTAAAGAGAAAGGAAATTATAAAAGAAAGTCTCAGAACATTGAGAACGAAGAACTGTAAAAATAAAACATGGTAAGTACAACTTGTTGCTGTTGTTTAGTTGCTTAGTTGTGTCCGACTCTTTTGCACCCCCATGGACCGTAGCCTGCCAAGCTCCTCTGTCCGTAGGATCTCCCAGACAAGAATATTGGAATGGGTTCCTTCTCTAGAGGATCTTTCTGGACCAGGAAATGAACTCACATCTCCTGCATTGGCAGGCAGATTTCTTTACTGCTGAGCCACCAGGGAAGCTCAATTAACTACAATAAATATTGCTTTTCCTTTTTCTTTTGAGTTTTCTGTGTTACATCTGATGATTAAAGCAAAAATTATATCATCATTGGGGATACTGGGTAAATGGCTAAAAGATCCCTGTCTTATTTCTTGCAACTGTGTGTGAACCTCAAAATAAAAAGTTTAACTTTAAAAAATGGGCAAAAAGATGTGACCTTTCAGTTTACCTAAGAATATGTACAAGAGAAGGTACACATCTAAGGAACTAAGCAGATGGCAAAGAAGCATATGAATGAAGTGTTAAGGATCATCGGTTACCGAGGAAATGGAGATGGATGCCCTATGAGCTGCCTCTATGCCTGCAGAGTGGCTGACATTTCAGAGACAGACTCTGACATGTGTTGAGTGTGTGGAGGCACTAGATCTCCCTCTCACCAGTTGTGGAGGTTGAAGATGGTACAGTTCCTCTGAGAAATAGTTTGGCAGTTTCTTAAAGTGAAACATGCACCTTCCATATGTCCCAGCCATCTTACTCCTTGTCTTTTCCCAAGAGAAAAACAAAGCACACGTCCATACAAAGACCTGTACACACGTGTTCAGAGCAGCTTTGTTTGAAGCCGTTGAAATGTAGAAACAGCCCAGTGACTGGTGAGTGTGTAAAGGAACAGTGGTGCATCCACAGAGTGGACAGCTCTGCTGCTGACACTGCAGCATGGATGGATCTCGAAATAATCATTTACTGATAGTTTCAGTCGCTCAGTCGTGTCTGACTCTTTGCGATCCCATGGACTACAGCACATCAGGCTCCTCTGTCCATGGAATTTCTCCAGGCAAGAACACTGGAGTCAGTTGCCATTTCCTTCTCCAGGGGATCTTCCTGAGGGATCAAACCATGTCTCTTGTGTCCAACTGCATTGGCAGATGGATTCTTTACCACTAGTGCCACCTGGGAAGCCCTTGAAGTAATTAAATGCTATGTGCACGAAGTCACTTTGGTCATGTGCGACTCTGTGACCCCATGGACTGTAGCCCACCAGTCTCCTCTGTCCATGGGATTCTCCAGGCAAGAATACTGGAGTGGGTTGTCATTTCCTTCTCCAGGGGATCTTCCCAACCCAGGTATCATACCACATCTCTTCTGTATCCTGCATTGGCAGACAGCTTCTTTACCACTAGCATCACCTGGGAAGCACTGAGTGTAAAAACTGAAAGAAAATAGCATGGACATGTGGTTCCACTGATGAAAATCTGCAAATCTAATCCACAGTGACAGGACAGAAGCAGACCCTTGCTGGTACCCTTTCTCTGCGTCTATGTTTTTGCTGCCCCATCTCGCTCACACTTAAAAGTGCTCGTCTTCCTCCTCTTTTGGCCTCTCAGCTCAGCCCTGCTCTTCTCACCCTGTGCTCACTGTCTGTCTTCAGTCCCTCCGCTAACCTCAGCTGCATGTCTCAGCTGACCCTGTGAGCTCCAGACCCCAGCCCTCCAGGGGACGTGTCTCCTTGGCCATCACATGCACCCTCATGTAGGCCAGGTCCAGTGCCAGCCCTTCTTCTGCCTCTCTCCCCACGTCCTCTCCTTTCAGTGATACATCAGCACCCTCTCCACAGCCCCAGCCAGGAACCCAGGCCAGGCTTTCAAATCTCATGTCCAGTTTATCACAAGCCCTGTCGATCGCTGCTTTTAAGCATGTTATTCCTGAATAATTTCATTCATCCCTCATTTACCTGCATCTGGTGCAGTGCTGATTCCACAGGCTATCACTGTCTGTTAGAACAAGGACAGGTGTCGTGCAGATGCAGCCCACTCCTGTTTCAGTTACTTGTTTCTAGCACCAGCCTCCCACTCCTGAAGGATCCCAGAAACTCCCAGATGGGCTGCTCTTCTCATCTTGCTGATCAGTTTCCCAGATTCACAGAATCATGGTGAGCTGTGTTGTTCCTCTGCACCACTTCTCACTGCTCGCTGGCTCAAAAGTGCAGCCTTCACCCTGGCTCTGGTAGCGCTGGATTTCCTCCAGCCCTGGCCTGCCTCCATCCTGTGTACTCCGTCTCTGCCTTCTGCCCGGTCACAGGCAGCTCCCACAGCTGGCCTGCCCTCACCCACTCCTCTGTCCTTTGGGCCTTCACCCTCCATGTTTCCTGTGCTCAAGGGGGTTCCCGCCCTGGCCACATTGGAGGACTGTCACCTGTCCTCTGGTTGCAGCTTGGCCATCACATCCTCTGGCCAGCTGCTCTTCCTCTTGGGTGGCATGTACATGGAGAGGCACCCTCACCTGTATCTTTGCCCGGTTCTGTGCTGGCCCAACAGCCTGGAGGTGCATATGGGCATTTGGCAGGTGTCCTGTGAATATTCCAGTGAGAAAAAGACAACAAGGCGAACAGTGCCATGGACTGTCCTCCACAATAAAAGCGCACTTTATTTCTAGCTGACCTGGAAGAATTTTCTTTAATGCTGTAAATGGATTTAATTTCTCATTTGCTCTGATTTCAGATTGAAGAGGAGATAAAAGGGTGTTTGCAGTTTCTGCAGTCTGTTTACTCGACGTTTGGCTTCTCCTTTCAATTAAATTTGTCAACAAGACCTGAAAATTTCCTGGGAGAGATTGAGTTATGGGATGAAGCTGAAAAGGTAGGGAGAAGCAAAGTGTTACCTTTCATTTTACCTTTCATGAAGTTGTGATGCTTTGTGGTGGAAATTAAAGACTGGGAAATTTGGGATAAATGTGCTAATTGTGGAACACAGTTAATCCAGTTTTCTTCAAACACTGATAAGAACGATACCTAACATTTGTTTCACACTTTAGTTTATATCAGGTTTTTGTTTGTAGTCTTTTCAGTGCTGCTTCCTAATAACCAGTTTCATAAGTTTTTCAAGAAATCCTCTGGCTCGTTTTTCAGCAGCTCTGGTCAGACCTCTGCCCGTGGGACCAATGTAGGTCCCTCAGCTCCTCGAGCCAGATTAACCCCAGCCTCTCTCTGTGCTACTTTCCAGAGTTGTAATGAGTCGTTAAGAGAACTCCAGCCCCACCCACACACCACTAGCAGACAACTGTGTCTGGAGCCCAGCAAGTACCATAGTCTAGACCCCAGTGCTCCTGGGAGCCAGAGATGTGGCGAATGTGGGACAGGACAGATAGATGGCAGGGAGAAGGGGTACTGGGCAGTGTATATGGCCAGGCCTAGGAGCAGAGGTTCCAGCCCTGGCAGACCTTGCATAAACTCGAAGCTTTCTGACCCTCAGCCTCTCCAGCCAGGCCTCCCAATCCCTGTGTCCTCAGAGGCTTCTACTGTATGCTCTTCCCCCAAACCTGGCTTTTAAAAAAAATGTTAATTCCCTGAAACTCCTCCCGTCCGTCAGCTGCTGTAGCTGGGCCTCACTTTGTCTGAGAACATGCACCAGAGTCCCTTCAGAAACACTCCACCCCCTCTGGAGTCACCCCCTCTGGTTGCTCCACCCCCAAGGTCACCCCCTCAGGGCGCCCCACCCCCAGCGTCACCATTCGGGTCCCAGTGCACCGGGACAGTGACAGGAGTCTGGCTGCTGTTCTGACAGAAGCCTGGATGCTACCCAGAGAAGCTGCTTCCACAGGGAGGGAGTATCCAGAAGACCCAGAATGCCCTGACCCTACTGTCGTGTACACATCTGGCCCCGTCAGCATGGACGGGTGTCTCCACTGCCAGCTGGCTGGAAGGACTGTATGTGGCTTACAGACCATGGAGAGCCTCCCGCTTCTGCGCCCCATAGGTCACCAGGGGCGCTGCCCACCAGCCACAGGCACAGAGATGGGGTAGAGCAAAAGAGGGTGCACAGCCTGCCCCCGCCCCAGGTCTTCTTACACCTGTAATGGAGTGCACGAGGGGCAGGGCAGAGCCTGCTTGCCCTTTACCGTGCAGGGTCCCTCCTGAGAGGGGCTGGGAGTGTGAGGTGGGGGGCTGCAGGGGCAGACGAGCCCGAATTCCCCCCCCACCTCTCACTGGGGTTCACTGGACATGTCAGTGAGTGATCCTTTCTCCCCCAGTTAAACTGTCTGTTTCTTGAGAGCAGGCACCATCTTAGTCATCTTCCTGTGTCCTCACCCAGAGTTTACTGACTGTAAGAGAGGCTCAGTAAGAACAAGTGGAACTAACATGGAACGTAGTGAAGATGGACAGTGACTTACTATTTTGAGCTATAGGACAAAAAGAAAATGTACAATGAAGTGGAAGTTACTAATGTTCTCTTCTTATTAAAAAATAGCAACTACGGAATAGCTTGATGGAATTTGGGAAACCATGGAAGATAAACCCTGGAGACGGAGCATTTTATGGTCCTAAAGTAAGTAGGCAGTATGCCTCAAAAAGAGTAAAACTGGAAAGTAAAAACTGTGTCTAAGAAAACATCTTTGAATTTACAGATTGATATAGAAATCAAGGATGCTCTTGGCAGATACCATCAATGTGCTACAATCCAGCTGGACTTTCAGCTGCCTATAAGATTCAATCTTACATATGTGAGGTAAGTGACTGTGATGAATAACACAGGACTGATGTCTTAAATACTGTCACTCATGCTTTAGCAACATAAGAACGAGCATCAGTGAATGTCCATCTGTGTACAGTGCACTCAGTGTTTGTTCACTTGCTTCTTATCTTGTTGGAGGTTAGCCTTAGTTTCTTCAGGCCCTGGTCAGTGAGATGATGAACATTAGAGCAGTGAACAGAGGATATAGAAACACACCCCAGATGGTGACGTCTCCCTGAGGTGGAGGAGGGGGCTTTCTACAGGCTGATCCTGGGTCTGTGTCTCCAGGACAAGGTGTTTGCCCAGGAGAGCAGACAGAAAAGGCTGTTTCATCAATGCAAACAAGCAGTGTTTATCTTTTATATTTTGTCCTACCTCCCTTCGAAGACAATGGGCTGCTTTTCTGGGTGCCTGATGTCCTCTGCTAGCGATCAGAAGTTGTTTTGTGAAATTTGTTCAGCGTTCAAATGTTCTTTCGATGAATTTGTAGGGGAGAAAGTGGCCTCCCCGTCCTATTCCTCCGCCATCTTGGCTCCTCCCAACAAGCAGAGTTTAAACTTTAAACTTTTTTCTTAATACACAGTGAAGTCGACTTCGAGGTGCTGTGTTTTGTTTCTTTTTTCTATAACAGTTTTTTTAATTGATTTATTTTGGCTGTTCTGGGTCTTCATTGCTGTACCAGCTTTCCTCTAGTTGCAGCAAGCAAAGGCTACTCTCGGCTATGGTGCATGTGCTTCTCATTGTGATGGCCTCTCTCGTTGTGGAACACAGGCTCTAGGGTATGTGGGCTTCAGTCGTTGCAGCTCCCTGGGCTCTAGAGCAAGGCTCAGTAGTTGTGGTGCTCAGGCTTAGTAGCTCTGCAGCATGTGAGAGAACCAGGAATCAAACCCGTGTCTCCTGCATTGGCAGGCAAATTCTTCACCACTGAGCCACCAGGGAAGCCCTGGGTTTTGTTTCAGTCCTAAGCAGATTATTGAGTTTTTAGCAGTCATTGTGCCTGGGCAGGTTCAGGCTGTAATTTCCAGCCCACCTTCTGTGGCTGCGATGTCAGCTTAGTTCGCCCGGCCTATGTACTATGTCCTCAGCCCTCTGTATCCATATCCAATGCCCGTGGGGGCCCGTGGTTCCCATCACTGCATAGGAGGGACTCGAGCATCCCTGGATCTCAGCATCTGTGGGGCTTCCTCTCCTGTGTGCGCCACCCCCGGTCCAGGTCCCACAGCTCGGTTTTCAAGGCTTCTGTGTGCTGTTGGGTCAGGTCCTTATACACGCAGTGAGTGGTGAGGCCGGGCAGCTCTCCCACGCCCCCTGCTGTCTGATTTTCCTGAAGTCCTTTCTGCAGTCCATGGCCAGGAGGCTGGGCGTTAGCTTCCCTGCCCCACCTGTCTTCCCAGACTCTCTGTGTCACACACCAGGCATCAGGGCGCCAGAGTGAGCGCAGGGACTCGCCCTGTGCACCTGGGCTCAAGGCTGTCTGGTCAGACAGAAGGGTCCCTGCCTCAGAGCTTTAGGTGCCTATTTACTCTCTGTGTACCATGGGAATGCTGGGGGCTGGAGGAAGAGAGCAGGAAAAAGAAACAGAAGGAAACCCCAGGACCCCCGACTCCGCTCTTTCTGAGACTTAGTTGTTATTTTTCTGGCTGTGTATTTTTGGTTGTGGACTGTCTTTATGTCCAGGCCTCACAAAAGGGAAGACAAAATTACAAGAACCTAAGCATTGGTTTGGTGGCACTTGAGAGTTGGGTCTTCTTGGGCATAACTCAGCTCTCCCAGCCCTTTCGTTCTCTCCTGGGTTCATGTCTGTGTCCAGTGAGTGCTGAGTGTAGCATGCTTACTTCATTCCACCTGGAGCCAGCCTCTTTTCAAAGACATTCCCGTGACTTGAATTAGACAAAATCACAACATTCTTCCTTTAAATGCTCCTCTTCTCACCATGTCCAATTTTAGATGTAGTGTTGCTTAGACAGTGTGTTGAGATCTCTTTCACTCAAAAGTTACTAAGGCAAGAAAGGAAAAATCATTGGCATATTTTAAATCTAATAATTTTTATTAGACTATTTTCCTGATAAGATTCTTATAATAAATGAACAACCACCAGCTCCCCAGAGCATATGATATTATGGGTTGATCTCAGTTTGTGTTCACCAACAGTAATTTCATTTTGGATTTCCTGTGTTGTGTTTTAATTAATAGTTATAGAACTACACTCAGAGTTAGGTCCTAGGAGAAAGTAAAGAGCTGAAGGAATGGTTGCAGTGTTCATATGGAGTTACACCTGGACATGAGAAAAGTAAAAATTATCAGAGAGTAAAGGGGAAGGCACAGAACCTTCAAGAACAAATTTGGGCCTTTTAGAAAAGATTCTGTCTGGAGTTTATATTTGCAAAATCATCTTTCCCCAATAACCTACTATTAATAAAATTAGGAGTAGGGGGACTTTATTTATGCTGAAATGGCCCAACTAATTTAACAACATTTGAATACTGCTGGCCATCTAAAGGGTATGTGGAGAAGAAGCAGATCAGGCAAGCCAGCATCCATCCATCCATCCACCCGTTTACCCATATATCTATCCTCATCCATCCACGCACCACCTCTTCATCCACCCATCTATCCATCCATCCGTCCATCATCCTAGGTGTTGTGTGGATGACAGGGACTGGAGAGCATAAGTGGAAGCAGTGGTCTGTAGACCAGGTAAGAGATGACAGTTATAACAAGGTAGCTGTAATAGCAGAAATATGAGAAGTAGAGGTATACAGGGTTTATTTTGGAGGCCGAACCAGCGTGATCTGTTGTGGCTTAAATATGAGGAGAGAAGGAGGGAGGAGCAGTGAGGTCATTATCTTGATCAAGTTAAGTTTTCTACCCAAGAAAGCAAGGTTTAACATGAAGAGGCATATTGTCACCCATTACCTTTAATAGTGCTGAAAGGCATTGGGTAAAATGTAATTCATTCCAGTGAGAGGAAAGGAAATAAATTTTCCTATTACTATAAAAAACATCTATTTAGAAAATAATGATAACATATTGACCTATTTGAGAATAAGGCAAATAGCCTGTTTGTACTTTTACTCACAGTTGTGCTGGGATATATAGACAAATTGAAAAAAGAGACAAAATCATCACTATGTGTAGATGCTAAGATGTCAAGAAATCCAACAAGATCAGATGGAGGAAAAATTAAAACTGATAATAGAGTTAAGTAGGGTACCTAGCAATAAGGTCAATGCAAACATCAATTTGCTTTCATATATATATTAAAAACAATCCACTGGGAAATGCAATGGAAAACAAATTTCAGAAACAACAACAAAAACAAAGCGAATATCTAGGAATAAACTTAACAAGAAATATAAATATATAATATATATGTGAAGTATATACTATAAAACTTAATTAAAGGCAAAAAAAGTCACTTAAATGAAGATTCATACACATTATTGGAAGGGGAAAAAATAATATTGTGAAGATACTGATTCTCTTCAAGGGTATCTTTGAATCTAATGTAATTTCAGCTGAATCCACTGGGATTATTTGGGGGAACTTGATATTGATTTTAATGTTTACCTGAAAGTGTGTCTGTGTAAGCATAGTTTAGGTCATTATTTGCCCTTCTTAAGGCTAGACCCGATTTTAGTTCTTTTAAAATAAATGACAGGACAGCAATTTCTGGTACACCGAGGCCTGTGAAAGGATTGTGTAGCTTCTCTTTCATTCCCTCCACAAAACAACATTATATGACATCCAGGAACATCCACACTGGTTCCAGGTTGTGGAGTGAATCATTTCTTCACGTATCTGAGCAGGACTGACCCGGGCCCCCACCCCACCCAGAAGCTCCTCTTGGCTCTGACAGAGGACATGGCCTGCAGTCAGTCTGCCCTGACCCTCAGCAGAGGTGACTGGCAGGGATGAGATCCAGTGAAAACTCACCTGAAGTGAGTTCAGTGAATGACTCTCTGTTTTTGTTTGCTTGTGCATACATGAGTTTTAGTAGTAACCAGCTGTTAAAACCCTATAGATAAAAATTCCTCCTAAGAACTTTGTAAGCATTATGAAAACATTTATCTTCCTGAGAAGAGTGTGCACAGATCTTGGAGTGAGTTACTTCATTACAGTTAACAGTCATAGTTTGCTTTTTACATCTTTTTTGAAAGAGGGGGGAGAATCCTCCAATGTAAGGAGCAGGTCATGAAGGTTTCAGGTCTGTATAGAGAATTAGACCGGGAACATTTTGAAATGTAATGTAAGGGCATAGCATTTACAGGGTGGCACGGCAGTGTGTTTACAGCGGGTGGTGTCCGGAGTGGGTGCGTTTGGACCAAACAAGGTGGATTGTGAGCTGATGTTTGCCGATGCTGAGAAAGAGTTATATGTGAGTTCATTATACAGTGCTCTCTAGTTTTGAATATGTTCTCAATATTCTCTAATAACTAATGACTGTGTTATACTAATTAGACAAGTTTGGTAAATTTTTTGCCAGCCATGGTGGTCATACCATTAACCCAAATTAATAGAATACCAATGTATTCTAACAGAATACAGAAATACATTTAATTTTTTCAATGTCTTTGATAATTGTTCAACAAATTACTGGTAGAGTAAGCCATAGTTCAAAATAACATTAATTTTAAAATGTGATTTGTTAGATTGCCTGTTGGTATGGGTAAACTGGTAACTTAGATTAAAGCTGGTAGTTTAGAATAATCAGTGGACTTGTGATAGAAATAGTGATCTAATATTACCTTGCTTTTTCCTAGATGATATATTTCATTTCCCTTTGGTTTATTAAAGATACTATAATTTGAAAGAAAAAACCCTTTATTTCTAATTAATGCATGGCACATTTATGTTTAAAGATAATTCATGAGGAATCTTTTGTTTTACCTAGTATGGAAAAATAACTTTTAAATAAAAGGTAAGAAGATAAAGTTATTCCTGAATCTGAAGAGAACATTACATGTATAATTTTCATTTTTCAGTAAGGATGGGGATGATAAGAAGAACCCTGTGATCATTCACCAAGCCATTTTGGGGTCAGTGGAAAGAATGATAGCCATTCTCTTGGAAAACTATGGGGGAAAATGGTGAGTGATGTGGGAAAGCTACATGTTTCCTGTTCTTTAAAGACATGTCTAAAGATAAAATTAATATGAAAAAAAATGATGGCTCCTACCTTATAATTAGCAAGTGTCCAAACAGCAAATAAAAGATTCTTGTGGCATCTGCCAGACTAGGAAACAAAACAAAGAAAACAAAGGCAGAGTGGCATAACCCTGTCATTTACCTTTTTGGGAACTTGGTGAAATGAGAGAGTAGCCTTTTCACATGTGTGTCTAACCATCAAAGATCTGGTTTCTGGAACACATGTGGGCCATACTCCAGGGCACGCCCCCATCCCCACCCCCACCCCACCCCCGCTGGCTGTCCTGCTCTCCTTTCTTCCACTCACAGCCCTGTGACCACTGACTTGGGAGGAGATATGTGGACCTGGGTCACATGTGGCCCCAAAGCCAGAGGCTGTCTGCAGTGGCAGCTCCACCTGGGGATGGAGGGGCAGGTGAACTCCCTGAGGGCAGCTTTGAGTGGTTCATCTGGTCACCCTCTGTGCCCCCAGGGAAGAACGGCTAGAGGTATGAGTTACACTGATGTGTGGGCTCTAGTTATTGCTTTGGCTGCAAGGTCAGATTTAGAGATAATTAGGCTGGAAAATGTAGATTTGAGCACTTAAAACTGTCCACAAGGATGGTATCACCTGAGTCTGTGTCTGTCTCTGAGATTTTATTTGTGATCTTAGAGAAACACACTGAGGTGTCACAGGGTGTCCAAGCCATTACAGGTACAGGCATAGATATGAATGTGTGTGCCTCCTAAGCGTGAGTTAACTTGTTTGTATTTCTTTCCAGTTGATTCCATTGTAAGTAGTTAGCACAGTAAGAGATGGTGGGTCTTTCTCAAGAGCAGTAGAGCTAAGGGATCTGGAGATGGGGTGGCGCACTTCCCCATGGAGCTGCTGTGCACACCCTCCACAGTTCACGCTGCAAGCCTTTGGACACCTGCTGAGTGCTGGCAGAAGACACCCCAAGATGGAAGTAGAAGTGTGTAGAGTGCGGCTTTCTAGGGCTGGTGGCTGGGTCTGGGGTGAGGGCAGAGCTCAGAAGGAAGCATTTACTGTATTTCTCTGTTTCATCATGTTTATAATTACATTCATCACATGTATTATTTTGGTTTGTAATTTAAGAATAAGTATATAAAAAAATGCATTCACAGAATGCCATCCACAATAATCTCCATGCATTTCCCCTACACTTTCAAACTAAATCCATGTGATGAAGAAAAAAGCAGCCGTTTCCCACATCAAACATTGCTTATCCCCACCTTTCCATCTTGAAAAACATTTTCATTCTGAAAATAACTGTAGAATCATATACACAGAGGCCTAGCACACCTGTTACCAGTCTCAGTGGTGACATTCTGTAGAACTACATACAGAATGACCAGGAACTGACTCTGATACACTTACCAGCCTCGTTCAGATCTCACACTTGTACACGAGTGAATCTGTGTACCCGCTGGTCAGGGGATAGGACAGGTCCGTTACTTACAAGGACCCCACACGCCTCCTGCTCTACTCTGTCCCTATCCCCAACAGCCACTAATCTGGTCTCCACCTTCATAATTCTGTCATTTCCAGAGTTTTATGGGCTTGGAATCTCAGCACACAGCCGTCGAGACTGGCTTTTCCACTCCTTGGATGGAATTGCCTTGGGATCTGTCTGAGGTGTCTCGAGCCCTAGTCCTCGGCCCCCTATCACTTCTGTCAGTGTGTTTGTATGCAGTGACAGTTGAGCACTTACTCGCTGAAGGGCACTGGGGCATTTGGTGCTCTGATATGGAACACTGCTGTAAATTTTAGCATGCGGGGCTAAACACGTTCATGCAAACACGTTTCCACTTCCCTGGGGTGGATGCTCAGGAGAGCAGTTGCTGGGTCAGATGACTAGTGATGTTTAGGTCTTTCACCTGGCTGCCAGCCTATCTTCCCCTCCTCTTCCAATCAGAAGGCCCCGTCTCCCCTTTTGTCTCCTCAACTGCTTTTCCATATAGTTTGCTTGACTTACACCTCTCTCTTCTGAACCTGCTCTCATGTGAAGTCTTACTTTAAAAAAAAGTCTTCAGTTAGTTTTTAATCTTGTAATAAATGGTCATTTTGAAACATACATATTACTTACCTTTTTCAGGCCTTTCTGGCTGTCTCCTCGTCAGGTGATGGTCATCCCTGTGGGGCCAACTTGTGAAAAATACGCACTTCAGGTAACATCAGAGATGTTTAAAGTGCATAATGTTGGCATGTGGTCAGTGAATGTCATTGACTTGAAATGTTATTCATGCCTTAAAACATTGCATAACTAATACATGTATTTACCATCCCATGTTTTCAGTAACACCTGAGACAAGTCTATGTAGCTGTATAAGAGATACTTTATATATTGTTTTTGAGAAATTGGTGTTTTAAAACATCTCATAGTTAATCTTTTCCTTGTGGCTCTGTTAGGGAAGAATACTTATATTATCTGTTGCTGTGTAACTTGGCACTTTAGAGCAAAGAAACAGGCATGTATTATCTCACAGTTTCTGTGGGGCAGGATCTGAACCATCATGGCTGGTGGGCTCTGGCCCGGGCGCCTGGTGAGGCCACAGCCCTTCGGAGCTCAAAGGTCCCAGCTAGGGAAGTGGTCTCAGCCCTTTAAGCTCATCTTAGAACTTATGCGACATCACTCACTCTTCACTGTGGTCAAATGGACCAACCTGGGACCAGGTGGAAGAGACACACCAGGGTGTGAATACTGGGTGGAGGGGATGTTGGGGCTCATTTTGAAGGCTGGCTACCATACTACCCTACCCTACACAGAGTACTAATGAAAGTGTCTCGTTGTCTTGTAGATATCCAGTGACTTCTTTGAGGAAGGATTCATGGCTGATGTTGACTTAGATCATGGTTGTACACTAAATGACAAAATACGAAATGCACAGCTGGCTCAGTATAATTTTATTTTTGGTAATCTAAATTTATATATATTTTCCCAAATGCTTGTTTTTTCCACTTTAATTCCCCCCAAAAAAACCCTCACCAAAAAAGAAACAATGTGGTATAACTGCTTGATTATGAATACTTAAACACAAAGAAAAGCCTGTGGTGTTCCTGGCTAGATACTCTGTGATTTTCTGGAAGAAGACTTAGGAAATTTCATGTGCATCCTGTGGTGTAGTATTACTAGCAATAACTGATATTTCAAACCAACAGTGGAAAAACTATATAAATGATCTTATCAGTAGAATTATACTACTCCTCATGTTTCAGCCACGTGACAGGCTGAAATAATATCCTTTGCTTTTCTGGTTTATTAGAACTCTTTAGGATTCAAGTAATGAGTAGGGAAAGTTCCAAATTTAAGATGATCAAAAGAAAAAATTAAGTGAAAAAAATAAAATGTCCTTGAAGAACAGGAGCAATTAGATGTTGAATCTAAAATTTTGACTGTAAGAGTAATTTAAAACCAAGGGAGACAGATATTGACATGCCTGTGGGCACAATGTTGTTATCTCCTGTTAAGTTGAAAGTTTCTGTCGAAGGCAAAATAAATATGCAGGGAGCAGTCCTGTGGGCAGTTTGTCATCAAAAGTGTTTATAATGGGTATTGGTCAGACTTCTTGTGGTGACAGAGATTTCACATTAGCTTAGACATGATGAAATGTATTGGGAGTCAGAGTGTGTCATGCCATCGAAGGTAGAATTCGAGAAGTAACTGGGACAGGAGGGAACTCCACCCTGACCAGGACCATTTCTCCCCATTTCTGTTCCCTTTTGGTCTGGTTCTTTATGCTTCCTTGATCTACTTTATTCCACCCTCCTGGATGGCCAGTGTCTTCTTTCCAGGTGGCAAGACACATGACTGCAGAATTCTGCATCATCTCACAGTATGGGTTGTGAGAACAGACCTTTTACTTATATTCTAGAACATTCTGTCAGCTGGTTGACCTGTGTCAGGTGCCCACCCTGATTCATCAAGTGTGCCAGGTGGAGTTGGGGAGTCTGTAGGAGCTATCTGCTCCTATTGGTACCCCACAAACACCACAGGTGTTCTCCAAAATGGACAATAGACCAGCGGGATTAGAAGTCATTCCTTGTCTCCAGAAACTTACTCTCAGTGGATGACCCATGGACATTAGATTGGTATTTGGTGATTCGTGCTAAGAAGGAAACTCAATGGGACACAGGCCATATGATTGCTGACTTAATATTTAGTAAAACGTTGATTTAAAATAGATTTATTTCCCTTTGTTTTCTACAGTGGTTGGAGAAAAGGAAGAAACAAATAATGCTGTAAATGTTCGAACAAGAGACAACAAAATTCATGGGGAGATCTCAGTAACTTCCGCCATTAATAAATTGAAGAATCTCAAGCAGTCACGTACCCTGAATGCTGAGGAAGAATTCTGACGTCCTTTCCCTGTGTGCAGTCTGTGTAACCTCATTTTGACCCCCAAGCTTGCATTTTCCCTAATTACTATTAGTACCTCTAAGAACTTGGAACCCATTGTCAGCTCTGCTGCTGGGCACAGTGAGAAGCGAGTCAGGAACTGAGTGGTTGATACCCACAAAATCTGATTTACTCATGTGTCTACAGACAAAGGACAAGGGTGAGAAATTTTAAATTTCCTAAATGTCTTGAGAAACTTAAATAGGAAAATGTTCATCAAAAAAGAGAAATACTAGGAAATAAACAATATGATATGTTACTGTTAAGAACTGTGGTTTTTCAAAAGATAAATCTCAAATAAAACTCTGCAAAGCTTTTTGAATGGGGGAAAATCTTATTTTCTAGTAACATTATGTCTCAGGTATTTTTTTAACTGAAGTTTTACTAAAGTTCACACTGAAACTTTATTTTCAAAATCAGAGTCAATTTGTTTTAGCTAACCTACAATCACAACAGAAGCTAGTACTAAATATTGGATTACTAACAAAGGATTCTAAACTCAAAGAAATTCGGTATTGTGTAATCTTTTGTAGTTTCCACTGTAGGATGAGTTGCCATTTTAATGCTTCTAAATGACAGTTGAACCTTACTTATCTTTAGGAAAAAAAATTCAAAATGTATTACATAGTGCTTCCAGGGTTACACCTATGGGTTTTTACCATAATAATTTGCTCCCCTACAATAAATTGCTCTTTTGATGGGATCACGTTCCACTGACTTGTAGACTCAAATGTCTTTCTGATTTTAACTGAGAGGAATACCTTGCTTTATAGAACCATATTAAAACGGCTTTATGTCAATAGTGAATTTAGCTTGCATTCCATCAGTCTTTATTTGCTATGTGCTCTGGAATTCGAAATAGATTTAAAACCTGCTCTCCTCTGTACACACTGGTCATTTAGCTTCCTGAAGAGGTGGTGGACAGAATAGTCGACCGTGAATGACAGCAAATTGAACTGTATGGGTCCATATTCCGGTGGGTTTTTTTCAATAGTAGGCTTCCCTGGTGGCTCAGCGGTAAAGAACCCACCTGGGATGCAGGAGATGTGTGCTGGATCCCTGGGTTGGAAAGATCCCTTGGAGAAGGGCATGGCAACCCGCTCCAGTATTCTTGCTTGGGAATCCTACGGACATAGGGGCCTGGCAGCTACTGTTCGTGGGATCGCAAAGAGTCGGACACGACTGAGCAACTAACACATTTTTTTCAATAGTAAATACTAGAGTATACAGGATCCTACCTGCGACAGGTGGAAGAACTGAACTTGGAGGGCCTGCTCTAAGTTATATGTGGGTTTCCCCCTGTACCCCTCTCCCCGAGGTGGTTCAAGGGTCACAACTGTGCGATGCTAGAAGCTGCAGATTGTGTAATGTAACTTTTAAAGCCAACTTTTATTGAAGCCAAGAACTATTCGATAGATTTCTTTATTCACCAAATGTACTAGTGAGGGAAGGGGTGTGAGAAGACTACCCACCCGGACGGTCTGGTGGAGGGCGGGCGCCAAGAGGGAGGCCTATGCGCGGTCCAGGACGAAGGATGCTGCGGCAGGAACACGTGTGGGTCGCCGCGTGGGCCTCAGGGAGCCGCGGCCTGCGAGCAGCTCCCTTCCTGAGGCGGGCCTCCTCCGGACGACCTGGGGGCCTGAGACCCGCGCCACGGGGCAGTCGGCCTCTCTCTGTCCTCGAGGAACGTCTCTAGGGACTGGCTAGACTTAGGGGCGGGACGCTGGCCGGGCTCCGGGGTGGCGCGGAGTGGGGCCTCGGGTCCCCCGGGCACACCTCGAGTCCTTCCCGAGCAGTCTGGGCCGCATCTGTACACAAGCAGCTTTTCAGTCGGACGAACCGTAAATTCGTCAGATCTCTGCACGGTGCCAAGCGCACAGTAGTTTTTGTCTCTAAACGTACAGATCCAGTCACAGGTAAACAGTGGCCAACTTCCCAAACTTGTCCACCTCTGCCCTCAATCCCTCAGGAGGGAGAAAGTGAAGTAAAAGTCGCTCAGTCGTGTTCGACTCTTTGTGACCCCACGGACAATACAGTCCATGGAATTCTCCAGGCCAGAATACTGGAATGGGTAGCCTTTCCCTTCTCCAGGACATCTTCCTAACTCGGGGATCGAACCCAGGTCTCCTGCATTGTGGGCAGATTCTTTACTAGCTGAGCCACAGGGAGAAAGGTAAACCTCTTATTCCAGGGGCAGGCGGCGCCCGGGTACCCGTCAGCCTTAGCCGGCGGAGCGCGGGGAACCGTGGTAAGGCTGCCGCGCCTGCGCCGGCGTTGTGGCCCTGTCCGGACCCGCCCCCTCGGCGCGCGCTGGCGCCCCGCCCCTCGCGCGTTCCCGCGCGGCCGGAAGTGAGCGCGCCGGCAAGATGGCGGCTCCGGTGGTCCAGCTGCGGGCTCTTTGCCGACTGTGTCGTGTGGTGCTGTTCCTCTCGCAGTTCTACATCCTGTCGGGCGGCGGTGAGTTGAGGGCTGGGGGCCCCGGGACCGCAGGCGGAGGCAGAGTGCGGGAGGAGGGCGCGGGTCGCTGCGGCCGAGTCCGGCGCGGTTTGCCGCCGCCTCTCGTCTCGCTCAGGGACCCGAAGCCGAGAGCCTGGAACTGGGAGGGCCCGGGGGCTCGGCCGGGGGCGTGGAGCTGTGTCCCGGCCCCGCGCTTGGTCCCAGGTGTTCGAAGACCGGGACGAGTGTCGATCTCGTTGGGTTTCCCCTTCAGTTCGTGGGCGATCAGGCCGCCAGGTTTGCCCAGGCTGCTGAAGCCTGGAGCGCAGCCGCACCGCCTGAGGTCTCCGTCTCTCCGGTCGCAGGGTCCTTCAGCGAGGAGCCCTCGCAGCCGCTGCCGCAGGCCATCAAGGACCCGGGCCCCACACGGACCTTCACTGCGGCGCCCAGGGCGGCAGGTACCGGGCGTTTTCCGTGCTCGTAAATGTGTGTGTTTATATCTAGTGGTCTCTCTCTTTTTGGCGAGCATTTCCTGCAGAATATGAAATCATTTCGCTGGTGGCTCAGATGGTAAAGAGTCTGCCTGCAATGCAGGAGAAGATTCTCTGGAGAAGGGAATGGCAACCCACACCAGTATTCTTGCCCGGAGAATCCCGTGGACAGAGGAGCCTGGAGGGCTACAGTCCGTGGGGTCGCGGAAGAGTCAGACACGACTGAACGAGTTTCACTTTCCATATTTGAACATTTTCTTAATTGCATTTTAGGTTATGTGAACTAAAGACAGATGCACAGACCTTTTCTGTAGACAGTCTCGGTATTTCAATACCTTTCTACATTCCGGCCTCATCTCTTTCCAGTCCCAGGCTCTTATTCCCATCTTTTTATTTGTAGTATTTTTTCACCTCACTCATCAAGATTACCTTCAACCAATGTTCCTTTCTCTTCAGAAAATTTCTTGTGCCTCTTGAACCCTGATCCTGATGTTGGGTATTAAAAGGCGCCCCCAGGGCTGTGTGAAATGGGGCGGGGGCGGGGGTGGGGTTGGGAAATCCCAGAGGAACTGGTTGAGACTTGGCTTTAAGTCTGGTGATGCCGCTGGAAGCTGGAGCAAATTACTAATCTTTAGGGCTTCAGAGACATTTTGGTTTTGTGATTCTAAGTGTCCATCCTCCAGCCTCAGTAGTAATAGGAACAAAACAATAAAGGAAAAAGTGATATTTTGCATCAGTTCAGTTTAGTCGCTCAGTCGTGTCCAACTCTTTGTGACCCCATAGACTGCAGCATGCCAGGCTTCCCTGTCCATCACCAACTCCTGGAGCTTGCTCAAACTCATGTCCATCGAGTCAGTGATACCATCCAACCATCTCTTTCTCTGTCATCCCCTTCTCCTCCTGGCTTCAATCTTTCCCAGCATCAGGATCTTTTCCAGTGAGTCAGTTCTTCACATCAGGTGGCCGAAGTATTGGAGTTTCAGCTTCAGCATCAGTCCTTCCAATGAATATTAAGCGTTGTTTTCCTTTAGGATTGACTGGTTGGATCTCCTTGCAGTCCAAGGGACTCTCAAGAGTCTTATTCAGCACCACAGTTCAAAAGCAACAATTCTTCAGTGCTCAGCTTTCTTTATAGTCCAACTGTCACATCCATACATGACTACTGGAAAAACCATAGCTTTGGCTAGACGGACCTTTGTTGGCAAAGTAATGTCTCTGCTTTTTAATATGCTGTGTAGGTTGGTCATAGCTTTTCTTCCAAGCAGCAAGCGTCTTTTAATTTCATGGCTGCAGTCACCATCTGTAGTGATTTTGGAGCCCCCCAAAAATAAAGTGTCTCACTGTTTCTATTGTTTCCCCATCTGTTTGCTGTGAAGTGACCCAGATGCCATGACCTTCGTTTTTTGAATGTTGAGTTTTAAGCCAGCTTTTTCACTCTCCTCTTTCACTTTCAACAAGAGGCTCTTTAGTTCCTCTTTGCTTTCTGCCATAGGGGTCGTGTCATCTGCATATCTGAGGTTATTGATATTTCTCCCAATCTTGATTCTAGCTTGTGCTTCATCCAGCCTGGTATTTTGCATGATGTTCTCTGATATTTTGCATCATTGCCCACTTAATAGTGACTTTAAGTAGGACCAGTTTTAAATGAGTGTCCGAGTGCTTTGCTGAACGAAACCTTGTTCTCTGTAGTTTCATCCCTGTAGAGTTCCGTTATTTCAGTGAACTGAAATTAGTAGCCATATATTATTCCTTCTATTAAAGTCTGCTAGAAGACATCAGCATACTTGAGTTTAAAACATAGATTATTTTACAGAGAAAGCACAAGAATTTTTGACTCTTTCAGACGTTTTGAGAGCTTTTCTTCCTTCCTAAGAAAAGTGTTTGCAGTTTTGGTCATCTCTTAACTCATAGTAATATATTATACGCCTGGGTAGTCTGGCTGGAAAAAAAGAACTGTAACCCACTGAATAAGTTGCTAATATAAAGAACTGTTTGTACTTTGGTAGTGTAAAACTGCATACTCCTTGCAGATTGTGGCTTGTGGAAGTACCAATGTGTAACAATGACAGTATATTTTCTGGGGGTGGTTCCTTTTGTACTGATTCTGTTAGAGGGTCAGTGGCGTCACTTAAAAATTAGTGATTTCAAGTGAAAAGCACAGTGGATTGGAAACGGAGAAATTTGGATTCTGATTGCAGTTCTACCCACCCTCTGTGATCTTGAACAAAATTTACCATCTATAAGCCTTTGTTTTTTCATCTTGTAACACAGTAAACTTTTTGCAGTCCTGATTATTACTAGCACCGTATATGTATGTTATGCTCATAATTGTGTTCCTTAACCTTGGAAAATTGCTTTCATTTGTTATTCTAATCCGTATTCTAAGAGAATAAGCTTCTCTCTCATCCCTTGCAGAAAGTACCGATATCCCACCTTATATGATGAAGTGTCCGAGCAATGGCCTGTGTAGCAGACTTCCCGCAGACTGTATAGATTGCAAGACCAATTTCTCCTGTGTCTATGGGAAGCCTGTTACTTTTGACTGCACAGTCAAACCTTCTGTTACCTGTGTTGTAAGTACTGCAACTTATGAATTCTTAATAAACTTATTGTAAAGCTTGAGTTATAAATAGAGTTTAGACATGAACATGGGGAAAATTGAGAAAGTGCTCTACATTTTAAAAGTAAGATATGAGGATTGAAGTCCACTTTATCAGATGAAACTTCCGTCTCCCAGCAAGGTTTGGTGTAAGGGTTCAGATAGCAATTTTCTGACATGAGACTAAACTGAAGGAACTGTCAGACTGCTTATACCAAGTAGGGCGTAGAACAGGCTCAAGGGCACCCACTGTTGTGCATCAGCAATGACCTTGTTAGAGCTGTCGCACTGCAGCCTGTCTCTGATATGTTGACAGCTCTCAGGACACCTGCTTCAGAGCTCGGTTCCTGGGGGCAGCCCTACACCTGCTGAGTGTGACCAGGTCAGCGAGATTCACATATGTGCATTCTTGAATGGTTGGACCAGGTAAATTACTGCACACTTCGTTGTAGTCCCAGCATCTGGGCGAGACAGAGAGTAGAAATGAATAACAAAACAGTGTCTACTCTTGGCCTTGCCAGGACCAGCTCTGAGATTTATTCATCTGTCTCCTGTTTAATCAGGAGATGGACCTAGAGCATCTTTTCCTAAAGTGTTTCTGTGGAGCCCTTGTTGTGGTAGGTGGTCAAGAAAACGTAGATTCTAGGTCATGTTCTCTTTAGCAGGTTTCCATTGACCCAGGATTCTCACTTGAACAAGATACCTTTCCCCATCTGTCCTTTGGAGCCTGGTTTGCAGAGGGCTAGATTAGAAAGTTTCCGCCCAGGCTCTTTCTGTTTCTCCTGAAGTCCAGTGTCAGGAGAGGGCCTGAGGGAGCCTTCACTCCAGGGGGGCATGAGATTTTATGTGGCCTCAGCATCTGGATGTAGTGGTGGTAAACTTCAGTACTTGTCATTTTCGTGTATCAGTGTTGCTCTTGAAATCGCGCTGGAAAACTGAGCTAGTTGGTGGGTAGTCTTCATGACTGCCCTTGGATTATCAGTTAGTCTTTGTCGCGTCATCTTAAATAGAATTTTCTCCCTACTCACCTAATAACAAAACCTGTTTGACGGCTTTTGAAATCACATACTTAGTAAGTCTGGCACACGTAGTAGGTACCTTGTGGAAAATGAGAAAATCCAGATGACTGAGGGGCGCTTTTCCCAGAATGAGCCTACTATGTTTGCCTTCGTGTCTTGGACATTCATCTTGCACAGCTGGTTTCTGAGTGAAACTTAGTTTTCAGTTTCTTCCTCCTTTAGGTGTTCTAAAAAAACAGGTGGTTTCATTTTTCAGAAGATAGCAGAGGACAGGGGAAATGACAAAGGTAGAGAAATGACAAAACTTAGGGAGTGACTTTTCCTAGCTGATCCTGTCCCGGGTCTGTCCTTAGCCCTTGGATGAGACACGCCCTGGAAGCAGTCTTTCCCTCACACCTCAGGTGCTTCCATCTCACCTGCTTCGTGACTAGCCGTTCATCACAAATCCTGTACAGTATCAGGTGCCCAGCCCCCAGAGGTGGCTTTTGAAAGTAATCTCAAGAGCATCTGGTGGTCTGTTTCTTCTCAGAAACGAAGAACAGTCAAATAAAGGAGCTGCGGGTCCCAGGAGTACTGCAGCTGTGATTTGGGGCAGGCCCTGTGTTCTTCCCTTGGTGTTTAAGACCATCACAGGTGTACACGCAAGTACTCATCCTCGCCTGCTGCATTCACCCCCTTCCCTCCCCTCACTTTGTGTTGAACTTCAGATTAATAGAAGGAAATAAACTCTTCTCATCGTTCTAATGTGCACTTATAGGGACTCAGGCCAAGGGAATCTCACCTGGATTACACTAGTCAAAGAAATTGTTTTATAATGTATATAAATAGAAGTAAGTGCAGAAATCTGGCTGTAATGGAAACTGCCAAGCCAGTTCACATCAGCTGGAGATGTGCTTGACAGAAATGGTTTTTGTGTCTGTTACTTGGAGGAGAGCTCAGTCTGCTAGTGTAAGTGAGGCAAGTTTAATTCCTTTAGGTAGGCTCTGGATTCTTAGTAATGACAGTTGTGTCACAGAGGGAAAGGTATTTACCACAGGTGAGCTCTTGTTGGGGTCTACTTTTTTGTGGTGTGAAAGTGGACTTAGTGAATGCTAGGGTGCCCGGGTGCCCATGGAAAAAAAGTGGAATCCCTATTTTGTCCAAAGTAAATTCCAGATAGATGCAAGACTTTATGTGAGAAGATGAAATCTCAAAGTACCAGAGAAAGTGTGAGAGTTTTGTCATCATCTCAAAGTGGGGAATAATTTTCTAAGTATGAAATAAGGTTTAGAAGTTATACAAGAAAGAATTTATACGTTTGACTACTAAAGATGAGAGGTTTCTGCATGAGCTTAAAAAGCATAAAGGCCAGAGATAAATGAGAAACGATGAAAAAGTTTTAACACATGTGACAAATAATATACTAGTACTCATAATATATCAAGACATCCAAAAAGCCAATGAGAAAAAGATGACAGTCCTGTAGAAAAATGGTGCTAGAGCATGAGCACATGGTTCATAGCAAAGGAAATACAAGTGGACTTTCAACTTGTATTTGAAAGATGCTTAATTTTCTCATAGTTTAATACAAATTAATGAATTTTTATCCTGTCATATTGGCAAAACAGTCAAAGAGTTTGATGACACTTTTCTTGAAGGTGTTAGAGACAAACATTGCTGTGTCTTGTCAGTAGATGGGTGGGTTAGTTAGCCTGTGGTAGACAGTTTGTCTCATCTCTGAAACCTGCGGGCTTCCCTGGTGATCAGAAGGTAAAGCGTCTGCCTGCAATGTGGGAGACCTGGGTTCTATCCCTGGGTCAAGAAGATCCCCTGGAAAAAGAAATGACAACCCCCTCCAGTACTCTTGGCTGGAAAATTCCATAGACGGAGGAGGCTGGTAGGCTATAGTCCATGGGGTCTCAGAGTTGGACACGACCGACTGACCTCACTTTCTTCCTTTCTGAAACGTACAGGTGCATGTAAACTTTGACCTGGCAGTTCCATATCTAGGAATTCATCTAACAGGTGTTACTTATTGCATATTGATACACAAAAGTATGCCTAAGAATATTCTTAGTTGCATTGTTCACCCAGCAAGGTTGGAAGCAAGCTGAATGTCCAAGAAAGAGCAGTTCACTTTGCAGCTCACTGTGTAGTGAAATAAATACATTGCAGCTGTTGAGAAGAACTAGGCAACTCCAGAGATGTTTCCTGATACCTATCGAATTAAGTGAAAAGTAATTATCAGTGGGAACATTAAATTAGAAAAAGAAGAAGCGTACCTGACGTAAGCGTATGCATGCATAGAACAGACTCCCTGGAAGACCAGCATGGATCAGCTGTGCTCAGTGCTGAGGGCTGGGCCAGGCCAGCCACCTCTTTACTCTCCTCTTGTCTCCCAGAGTTTGTACCATGTACACTGACTGCCCAGTGTTAAAAAAAACAGTTGATAAGAAACGTGTTACAGATGCATCACTAGAAATATGCAGACATTTACAATAATATTGCTTAAATCAAGGAGTGCCTTGCTCGTGAATACTGCCCTTATAAGTGGTTTTGCATTAATCAAAAAAAAAAAAAAATTAGTAAATATGATACTTCCAGAGGTGATTGTGTTACCATATAAATACAGTTTTAAAGTATGTTTTATAGCATAATATTAAGTAGTGGTGAAAGAATACAAAATGTTTTCAGTTTAATTCCATGTATGTAAAACTATCACAGGAAGCAAAAATGAAAGAAGGTTAGACGTGCTTCTCTCTGGAGAGGTTACTGGTTTTCCTGTAATTTCCAAATGTGCAACATATAAGCACATGGGGTGCTCTTACAGGCAGAAAACAAATTTAAAATTGAAATGGAAAACTTGTTTCGAGGCTCAGGGCCACAATAGCACTGGCTGAACCTCGCCAAGGGGTTCTTTCTAAGTTAGGGATGGTCTTCTGGGGCTGTCTGTGTGTGGGTCCTCTCGGGTGCTCCTGGGAGTGTAACAGCAGTGACTGCCCTGGGCCTCAGGACCTCAGGGACTCCTAGGAAGAGTTGAGACCCGGTAGGCAGGCTGTTCCTCCAGGAGCGTCCAGCAGGGTCCGGGCTGCCACGTACTGCACAGTACTTTGAGCAGAGAGGCTCATCTGCCCTGTCAGCTCTCTTGTGTCTCTGGGGCTTCATAAAGTGCCTTTTCCTTTCTTCTTTGTTATATAAGTACACATGTGTGTTACTAAAAATTTAGCCAAAGTTAACAGTGATGAATTTTATCCTGATAACCTTTGATATTTTGATGTGCATTTATCTAGGTATTTTTTCTTAGGTATATATTTTGGGGTATATACTTATGATCCTAGATCATGGCATACGCATTTGTTTTGCATACATATTGGCTTGGTACCTGTTTGTCTGCTGCTTCCTCCTAGATCATAAATAGAAGAGTTTTTGATACTTGTGCCTTATAACTATGTAGATTTATTGACATATTGATAAACTGGATTATGACTGAACAGCTCTGTGTCCTTTGTAGGATCCAGACTTCAAATCCCAGAAGAGTTTTGTCCTCAACATGACCTGTAGGTTCTGCTGGCAGCTCCCGGAGGCTGACTATGAGTGCTTCAGCTCCAGCAACTGCAGGGTGGTGTCCTGCCCTCGGCAGCGCTATGCAGCCAACTGCACTGTGCGGGACCACATCCACTGCCTGGGTAGGTTGACTGAGGGAGGCTTCTGGGCAGAGTGCTCTTCTTTAGGCGTACTTGCAGAACCATCACAGAAGTTTGAGAATTAGGTTTCAATTGTGTAGTCAGAAATGTTTTTCAGCACCTTTTAGTTAATGCCAGTTCTCTTATCTTTTAAAATGTAGTACTTCATAAAATAAAAATGTGTAAGGTGTAAAGCATAATGTGTGATTGAGTCTCCCCCAGGTTAACAGCCAAAGCATGTGATGCCATCGAAACTACCAGAGTGTTTGCTGCCTCTTCTTTAGGGGTGACACCCTTTTGAGGTTTCTTATGATCCCAATCCCTTCCTTTAAGTTTTTTACAGTTGTCCCATGTATGTGCTAGAATACAGTGTGGTATATTATTCAGTAATGCATGTCTCAGAACTGTGTGAAGTAGTAGCAGGCTGTTTATGGTCTCCTGGGACTTGTTTCTTTTCATCATTATGGCTCTAAGATTCTTCAGCTTGTTCTTTTCTTTTTTCACTTCTTTATAATAACATGTTGTAAGATTGTATCATAGTTTATCTGCTCTCCAATGTATTTGGACTACTTACCTTTTTTTTTCTTTTTCTTTTTTTACAAATTGTGGTGCTCTTAAAGCTTTTGTCTGTGTCTCTTGTCACACGTGTAAGGGGGTGTGTCTGGTATGCACCCTCTGGCATGTGTTCTTTTCCAGGTGGTTGTGTTTGTTCACACTCCCACCAGTGGTGCACAGCTGTTAGTGAGGATCCACATCCTCTCCAATACTCCTCCCTAAGTTTTGTTTTTTCTTACAGACTTCTATGAATTCTTTTGTATTTTGGATAGTAACCTTTGATGGCCCTAAAATCCTCTTCTGGATTTTAACTTTTTCCCCCACTTTCTTTTGGTCTCTTTTGAACACAACTTTAAAATTTCAGTTAGTTGGTTTTTCATCTTTCATAGTTAGCCCTTTTTTGTTGCAAAAAGCCTTTCCCTGCTCCAGATTCACAGAGATAATTTCCTGTACTTTCTTTTAAAAGTTGTAACCTTGGCCTTTCACATATAGGTCTTTAGTTCCCCAGGATTGGTTTGGTGTATGGTGTGAGGTGGAGTCAGACTCACTTTTTCCAGTTTGAACAGTCAGATGTCCCAGGACCCCCGGGCCATCTGTGGCCTGTGTCCAAGGGGTGTGTCGGTCCTGCGTGGCCTTCTCCCCTCCCGGTGTGTGGTTTGTCTGTCTTGTTCACCCCCACATCATCCACACCTTGACAGCAGGTGGGGTGGTTCACCTTCAAGCTGTGGTCCTCATGAACCTGTTCTCCTCACGAACCTGTGCTCCTCACAAGCCTGTGCTCGTGGACAGTTAGGGCTTTCTATTTAGCATTCAAGGTAGTGAACATTTATTTTTGTGAAGAAAGTTGTCTTTTTAGGTTATAAATCATAAGACCACCAGCTGTGATTTAGTCTCTGTGCCAGAGTATTTTTATACCCTTGTTTCATTGTGGAGTATTTCCCTTTATTAGGTAACCGCACTTTTCTGAAGATGCTCTACTGCAACTGGACTGGAGGATACAAGTGGTCCACAGCCCTGGCTCTGAGGTAAGCACTGTTCCCAGCTAGCAGAGACACCACTGGGCATTTGCTGTGGCTTCTGGGCTCTTCTGTGCTTCTCTCGTACTCTCTCAGGCCCTGCCACGTGTTGGGTAAACCACAGGGACTGTGCTGCCGGGGGCCGTTGAGGTGGTCAGACTGCTGTCTTTGTGGAGCTTGGTGGCCTATTGCTGGCTTTCCTCCCAAGGTGCCTGCACGTTCTGGGGGTGACTCGAGTCTTTATTGGAGCTCATTAGAACCAGTCAGTCTTCCCATTATGAGCGTACTGTGAGTCAGTGACGTGCTGCCTACTATTTAAAGTAGCTAGGCTTATGACTGTCTTAATTTTCAGTAATTTCCTTCTAAATCATAAAAAAATACTACATGTTCAGTATTGAAAACTAGAAAAAACAAAAATGACAAAGATAAATGTTGAGAATCACCTGTAATTCCACTATTCAAGTATAATTATAGACTTAATTTTTACATAAAAATATACTTGTATTTGTTAAACTTTTCAGCAGTTTGAAAAGAAAATTGTAGCAGTTCTCCCCACCCTCACCAGAGGGAAGGGCAGGTGGGCTGCTGGCTAAATGGTCCCTGATTCAGAAGTTGTGCAGCTGCTGGTTTAGGGTGAGAGCCCAGGGACTGTATGGTGGGGTGTGGGCAGGGCTTCTCGGCCTTGTCATTGTGGTTGTTTGGGCCAAGAATTTTTGGTTGTGGGGCGTCCTGTGAGAGTAGGGTGTGTAGCATCCTCTCTGGACTCCATTTATTGGGTGTTGTTTACAAGTCTTCCTACCCCAGTGGTGACAGTCAGTAGCACCTCCAGGTATTGCCTCTGTCTGGGGACCACTGCTTGAGGGTCTGGCTAGGAAGGTGGAGGGTCCTGTCTGGCAGGAAATCTCCCTGGAAAGTGAAAAGATGGGGCCACGACAGAAAGTCAGACACAGTGAAGGTGAGATTGCCCAGCGTCTTTGACACAGCAGTTCACGTTGAAAATAACACCTGACTTTCTGCTTCCCAACAAACTTTTTATTTTGGATTCATTTTAGATTTACAGAAAAGTAAAAGCAAAGCTAGAGAGTTCTGTACACCGCTCACCCAGTCTTCCCCTCATTGTGAACATCTTAAATTACTATGACACGTTTCACAGCTGGCTTTTAAACAGTAAGAGTTCTTCTCTGGGCTCAACATGGTTTCTTGCAGAATATTGAATGTGATGATGCCTGGCAGTTGCTTCATGGTTCTCGGGTTGGGGTGGGAAGGAAAGGGTATGATAAACCAGGGTGGGCACATGGTGATAATTATTGGGGCTGGGTTGTGGACTTCCCAGGTGACTCAGCGGTAAAGAAACCACCTGCCAATGCAGGAGATACAGGCTTGATCCCTGGGTTGGGAAGATCCCCTGGAGAAGGAAATGGCAACCCACTCCAGTGTTCTTGCCTGGAGAATCCAATGGACAGAGGAGCCTGGTGGGCTACAGTCTTTGGGGTCGTAAAGTGTCAGACACAACTGAGTGACTAAACAACAACAATAAACATGGGTGCTGTTTGCCTTCTTTTTACTCATGTATGTTTTAGAATTTTCCATAATAAAAATTTTAAAAGAAAAACAATTGAGAAGTTGTCTGAATATTGTTAGATTCTAGAATTTGAAGAAACCTTTTAAAATTCATATTTTCCTAACACAGAGCTTTTTTTACATGGGTGATTGACAAAGGTCCAGACTTGATGAGGCGGCCAGCTGGCTGGCTGCCTTGAGATGCTCCTGCAGCCTCCACATTGCTGGTCTGTTAGACTAGCCCTGCTTTGCCCTCCCAGATGCACCAGTTTTTTGCTACTTAAAAAAGTAGTAAGCTAGATTTTCTTCAAAAGAGAAGGATTAGATTTCATTACAGCTTATGTGTGTTCATTGTTGACATGTGAGCAGTCTTCTTGCCTGTGATTGTTTGGTGGTGTGCATTTGTGAGATGATCGCTGTGTCCTCATCCAGGGTCTGCTGATCTGAGGCCCTTTCACACATGTGAGTCAGCATGGTTACTGAGCCCCAGCTGGTGCAGTTGGGGGGCTGTTGATGCATTTCAGGCCTGTTTGCTGTTGCAGCATCACCCTTGGTGGGTTTGGAGCAGACCGCTTCTACCTGGGCCAGTGGCGAGAAGGCCTCGGCAAGCTCTTCAGCTTCGGGGGCCTGGGAATATGGACGCTGATCGACGTCTTGCTCATTGGGGTTGGCTACGTGGGACCAGCGGATGGCTCTTTGTACATTTAGCTGCAGTTACGTGCTTCAGAGAGGAGCGGAGCTTAGCAAATATGCTTTGCCTGTGGGAATCCACGTGCTTTGAGGGACCTGTATGTGTGTTTAATGTACAGCATCTGTACTTTGCCTGCCTTGATGAAGGTAAAATAAAAAACAGTGAACCATGCTTATCTGGAATTTGGTTTTCTTTGCCTGAAATTTTTTTTTTTTTCTGTGAAAAAATTTAAACTGGAAGAACAACCTGTGCAACTGAAAATCTATTTACTTCCTAGACTTGAGTTTTATATTACTTACCTCAGAGTGTATCATTTGTATCTCCAACTTGAATGTCATTTGCTGTAAAAAACATTTCAGCTATAATTGCAAAGAGTGGAAAATCTTTTCATTCTTCAGCTAAATAAAGTTATCTATCTAAACTTCAGTCATCTCTGAGTTTTGCAGTGTAATAATGTCTGTGTAGTGTGGTCTTTCTATGTGATTGTTTGAAATAAATGCAGAACTTTTGTGTCTGGTTCCTGTAATTGCAATTTTGTTAGTAATATAAAAGGTTGCAAGAGTACTGGAAAATAAATAAAAATACAAGTTACTTTAAAAATTTTGCAGACTTCTGTTACGTTTTTTATATTAAAACATAATCTTGAATAATCATAGCAACTTTCTTTTATTATTAAGAAGTGAAATGTTTATTTTTCAGGGTATTAGTCCATTCTAATAGATTTATTCATAATTGGCTGGTTCATTAACACACAGTGGAAATACTTAAAAATGTGTCAGTGTGATAAATGCTTTTGAGTCTTTATAAGATCTGTTGTAGACCCTTTCTGGATCGAAAAACATTTATTAATCCCAAAACTCTTTTTTTTAAAGACATTTTTAGTTAACTTCTTAAAATTCAAGTGTAGTCAATATACAGTGTTTCAAGTGTATAGCAGAGTGATTCAGTTATGTATGTTGTTGAGTCACTGAGTTGTTTCTGTCTCTTTGCGACGCCCAGGCTGTAGCCCACCAGGCTCCGCTGTTCATGGAATTTTCCAGACAAGGATACTATAGTGAGTTGCCACTTCCTTTTAGTTGTGTGTGTGTGTGTGTGTGTGTATATATATGTGTATGTGTGTGTATTTTTTCAGATTCTTTTCCATCATAGGTTATTACAAATATTGACTGTCATTCCTGTGCTATACAGTAGGACCTTGTTGGTAATGTGTTTTATTTAGAGTGCTATGTATATGTCAATCCCCAATTCCCAATTTATCTCTCCCAGCCTTTCTGCTCTGGTAACCATAAGTTTCTTTTCTGTGTCTGCAAGTCTATTTCTGTTTTGTAAATAAGTTCATTTGTATAATTTTTATGACTCCACATACAAGTGATATATGGTATTTGTCTTACTCTGTCTGACTTGCTTCACTTAGTGTGATCATCTCTAGGTTCATCCATGTTGCTTCAAATGGCATTATTTCATTCTTTTCTATGGCCGAGTAATTTGTTGTTCAGTCGCTCAGTTGTGTCTGAGTCTTTGCAACCCCATGGACTGCAGCACTCTAGGCTTCCCTGTCCTTCAGCATCTCCTGGAGCTTGCTCACACTCAAATCTGTTGAGTTGGTGATGCCATCCAACCATCACATCCACTGTTGTCCCCTTCTTCTCCTGCTTCAGTCTTACCCAGCATCAGGGTCTTTTCCAATGAGTCAACTCTTTGTATCAAGTGGCCAAAGTATTGGAGCTATAGCTTCAGCATCAGTCCTTCCAGTGAAGGACTGAGTAATCTTCCATTGTATATATGTACCACATCTTTATCCATTCCTCTCTGGATGGACATTTAGGTTGCTTCCACATCTTGGCTGTTGTAAATAGTGCTGCTATGAACACTGGGGTGTTTGTATCCTTCTGAGTTAAGAATTTTCATCTTTTCTGGATATGTGCCCGAGAAGTAAGATTGCTGAATCATATGGTAGTTCTATTTTTGATTTTTGAAGGAGTGTCCATACTTTTCTCCATAGTGGCTGAACCAATTTACATTCCTGTCAAGAGTGTAGAAGGGTTCCTTTTTCTCCACAACTTCTCCAGCATTTATTGTTGATAACTTAGACTTTTTGATAATAGCCATTTTGACTTGTGTGAGGTGATACTTCATGATAGTTTTCATTTGCATTTCTCTAATAATTAATGATATGAGAGTCTTTTTATATGCCTGTTGGCCATCTGTGTGTCTTCTTTGGAGAAATGTCTATTTAGAACTTCTGCCCATTATTTGATTGGGTTTGTTTGTTTGTTTGTTTATATTGAGTTGTACAAGCTGTTTGTATATTTGGGGGATTAAGCCTTGTTGGTTGCCTTCTTTACAAATATTTTCTTCCAGTTTGTATGTTGTCTTTTGTTTTGCTTGTGGTTTCCATTCCTGTGCAAAAGCTTTTTAGTTCAATTAGGTCTTTTTTGTTTGTTTTTGCTTTGCTTCTGTTAGAATCTAGAAGTAATTCTAAAAAAATGTTGCTGCAATTTATGTCAAAGAGTGTTCTGCTTATGTTTCATCTAGGAGTTTCATAGTATCTGATCTTTAATCCATTTTGAGTTTATTTTGTATATAGTGTTAGAGAATATTCTAGTTTCATTCTTTAACATGTAGCTATCCAGTTTTCCTGGGACCACTTATTGAAGAGACTGTCTTTTCTTCTCTTGTATGTTTTTGCCTCCTGTGTCATAAATTAATTGACCCATTGAACTTTATGTCTGCTTTTGTGTCAGTACCATACTGTTTTAATAACTGTAGCTTTTAGTATAGTCTGAAGCCAGGGAGTATGGTTCCTCTAGCTCCATTCTTCTTTCTCAAGATTGTTTTGGCTACTTGTTCAAGTTCTGTGAAAAATGCCATTGGTATTTTTGTTAGGGATTGCATTGAATCAACAGACTGCTTTGGGTAGTATAGTCATTTTGACATCATAGATTCTTCCAGTCCAAGAATATGGCATATCTTTTCATTTGTGTGTGTGGTTTTTAGTTTCTTTCATCAGCATCTTACAGTTCTTGGAGTATGGGCCTTCTGCCTCCTTAGGTAGGTTTATTTCAATCTATTTTTTTTTCTGCAGTGGTAAATGGGGTTGTTTCCTTAATTTCTGTCTGATACTTCACTGATAGTTTATAGAGATGCAAGAGATTTTTGTATGTTAATTTTGTATCCTTCAAATTTACCGAATTCATTGATGAGCCCTAGTAGTTTTATGGTAGCGCCTTTAGAATTTTCTGCATATAGTATCACATCTACAAACAGTGACAGTTTTACTTCTTTTCCAGTTTGGAAGTAGAAGTGAAGTCGCTCAGTCGTGTCCTACTCTTTGCGACCCCATGGACTGTATAGCCCATCAAGTGCCTCCGTCCATGGAATTTTCCAGGCAAGAATACTGGAGTAGGTAGTGATTTCCTTCTCCGGGGGATCTTCCTGACCCGGGGGTCAAACCGAGGTCTCCTGCATTGCAGGCAGATGCTTTACCATCTGAGCCACCGGGGAAGCCCTTATTATTTCTTTTTTTTTCTCTGACTACTGTGACAAGAACTTCCAAAACTCTGTTGAATGAAAGTGGTGAGAGAGGGCATCTTTGTCTTGTAGCTGATCTTGGAGGCAATGCTTTCAGCTTTTCACCCTTGAGTATGATGTTGGCGCTGGGCTTGTTATGTATGGCCTTTATTATGTTGAGGTAGGTTCCCTCTATGCCCACTTTCTGGAGAGTTATCAGAAATGTTAGATTTTATCAGACGCTTTTCTGCATCTTGTGATAATCGTAAGTTTTTTCCTGCAGTCTCTTAATATGGTGCATCACATTGACTAACTTGTGAATATTGAAAAATCCTTGCATCCCTATGAATCCCACTTGATCATGCATGGTGTGGGATCCTTTTACTGTACTGTTGGATTCGGTTTACTACTATTTTGCTGAGGATTTTTGCTTCTCTGGTCATCAGTGATAATTGGCCTTTAATTTTCTGTTTTTTGTAATATCTCTGTCTGGTTTTGGGATCAGGGTGTTGCTGGCCTCATAAGAGTTTTGGAGTGTTCCTTTCTCTGCAGTTTTTGGGAAGAGTTTCAGAAGGATAAGTATTATTTCTTCTGTAAATGTTAGATAGACTCTACCTGTGAAGCCATTTGGTCCTGGACTTTGGTTTGTTGGAAGTTTTTAAATCACAGATTCAATTTGATTACTTGTGCTTGATCTGTCTATATTTTCTTTATCTTTGTAGTTCTGTCTTGAAAGGTTGTGTTTTTCTAAGAATTTGTCCATTTCTTCCAGGTTGTCCATTTTGTTGGCATATAGTTGTTTGTAATAGTTTCACATGATTCTTTGTATTTCTCTGGTGTCAGTTGTAGTTTTCTCCTTTTTCACTTTTGATTTTTTTGATGGGGGCCCCTTACCTCGTTTTCTTTATGAGTCAAGCTAAAGGTTCATTAATTTTGTTTATCTTTTCAAAGAACCAGCTTTTAGTTTTTTTTATCTTTTCTATTTTTTTTAATTTATATAATTTTTTTGTCTGTTTTTGTTTTTTGTATTTTCTCTTATTGCTTTAGGTGTAAGTTTAGGTTGTTTATTTGAGATTTTTCTTGTTTGCTGAGGTAAGCTTGTGTCACTATATACTTCCCTGTTAGAAATGCTTTTCTTGCATCCCATAGATTTTGGATTATTGTGGTTTTGTTTTCATTTGTTTCTAGATATTTTTTATTTCGTTTGATTTCTTCAGTGATCCATTGGTTGTTTAGTAGCATATTGTTTGGTCTCCACTTGTTTGTGTTGTTTGTGGGGTTTCTCTGGTAGTTGAGTTCTGGCCTCATGGCGTTGTGGTCAGAAAATATGCTTGATATTCAATTTTCTTGAATTTATTGAGGCTTGCTTTGTGACGCAGCATGTGATCAGTCGTGGAGGGTGTTCTGAGTGCACTTGATAAGAATGTATATTCTTCTACTTTTGGGTGGAATTTTCAGTTAAGTCCATCTCACCTAATATGTCATTTAAGGCATGTGTTTCCTTACTGATTTTCTATCTGGATGATCTGTCCATTGATGTAAGTAGGGTGTTAAAGTTTCCCACTATTTCTATGTTAACTATTGATTTCTTCTGTCATGGCTGTTAGTGTTTGCCTTATATATTGAGGTGCTACTGTCTTGGTTGCATCTGTATGTGCAGTCATTAATCATTGTCTTAGACTGATCCCTTGATCATTGTGTAGTGTCCTCCTTTGTCTCTTGTAGCAGTCTTTATTTTAAATTTTACTTTGTCTGATACAAATTCTCTCTCTTGATTTCCATTTGCATGGAGTATCTTTTTCCGTCTACTCATTTTCCGTCTTTATGTGTCCCTAAGTCTGAGGTGGGTGTCCTTCAGATAGCATATATACAGGTCTTGTTTCTGTATCCATTCAGTCTGTTTCTTTTGGTTGGAGCATTTAATTCCTTTACATTCTGGATTATTATTGACATGTATATTTTTATTTCCATTTTATTAATTGTTTTACATTTGTTTTTGTAGGTCTTTTTGGGTTTTAATAATTTTCTTTGAAAACATTTACAGGCTTTTGGCATTTTTCCCTTTAAATTGGGTATGTGTTGCTATTTTCCTGATATAACAATATTTATTTACATCAGTTTCCCATCAACACACAAGTCATTTAATGTTATTTATGTTAGCCATTTCCATTGGTTGGCAGGAGGCTCTTCTGCTAAAGACTCCCGTGGTTTCCACTGAACCATTTTTCTTCCCAGACTTAGTTTATTTTCAGCCTGAAGAATCACCTCTTCTATTTGGCCTCCCTGAAGTTGCTCTTCTAGTGTCTTAACATCTGGTTTGGCTTTAACCATACTCAACTTCTCACTTGTAATCTGTTCTGTATGCTTTTCTAAATTAAAAAAAAAAAATAATTTTTTTGGCTGTGCCATGTCCTCATTTTTGCATGGGCTTTTCTTCTCTAGTTGCAGAGAGCAGGGGCTATTGCAGTGGCTTCTTTTATTGCAGAGCACAGGCTGTAGGGCTCTTGGGTTTAAGTAGTTGTGGCTCCCAAGTTCTAGAGCACAGGCTCAGTAATTATGGTGCATGGGCTAAGTTGTCATGTGGGATCTTCCAAGACGAGGAATTGAACCTGTGTCCACTACATTGGCAGGTGACTCTTCACCACTGAGTCACCAGGGAAGCCCTGTATATATGCTTAATTTTTAGGGATTTGTGTAAGAACATCAAGAATCTGTGTATAGTATTTTTAGCCTCTCATGTAGACTGTCACATACAGCCAGTTCCACAAGGCCAGTGATCTTTAGCAAGCCCACCATGACAGCAGTGTTACTTTTTAAACATCTGTGTCAATAGCCAGAAGATGTAATTAACCAGGTTATGAGATATTTAGCTATAAAATATTTTTGAGAATATCTCCATAAATCTCAGGTGACAGAAACATGCTTCTTTGCCAGAATAAATTACAGTTTACCTGAAATGGGAACTGAATCATTTGGTTCTATAATGCCTTTTCGTGGTAGTGGTTTAGTTGCTTAGTCATGTCCAACTCTCTGCCTGCCAGGCTCCTCTGTCCATGGAATTTCCCAGGCAAGAATACTGGAGTGAGTTGCCATATCCTCCTCCAGGGGATCTTCCTGACCCAGAGATTAAACCCACGTCTGCTGCATTGCAGGTCGATTCTTTACCAGTGAAACCACCAGGGAAGGTACTACGTGCCCTTTAGGACCCAGGAGTTGTGTCTGGGCAGATGTGTGTTGGTCTGGTCAAGTAGCAGTTCCAGCCCTGGGCACTAGGTGGGGCTTCCCCATTACAGTGCTTTCCCGTCATATGCCCAGAAGCAGCCAGCCTTGACTTGTTTTTTTCCTGGGACCATGAGCCTGGGCACAGAACAGGCAGCACTTCAGGTGGGTAGCCCAGGTTGCATGAGACTTTCTTTTCTAGAGACAGGAGACTTTCTTACCCTACCTGGGTACTTGAGACTGGGCTGAGCAGGTATTTCAAGGAGGACCTCTCCTTCCAGGAAGTGGGCCCTTGGTTAATTATTGTAAAGATTTCCCAAGAATCTGCTCCATAGAATCAGCTCTGCATAGAAGAGAATCTCCATTGCTGTTACTCCCACGTGAGGAGGAGCAGGGAGGTGACAGGAACTTTTGGCAGTGTGCAGTGTGTATCCTGACTGGGGCCATCTGTATGGCTTTGGCGCCTGAGTTAAATGACCAGTGTCCAGTGTTTGAAAGGTGAAAACTGAGAAGACTCTGACTGCACAAGAGGCAATGGATGAACTTCTTCCTAAGCTGTTTTACAAGCAGACTTCAGCTTCCTTCGTCACCCAGTGGTAAAGAGTCTGCCTGCCAATGCAGGAGGTGTGGGTTCGATCCCTGGGTTGGGAAGATCCCCTGGAGAAGGGAATGGCTGCCCACTCCAGAATCCTTGCTGGAGAATCCCATGGACAGAGGAGCCTGGTGTGTTAGACCATGGGGTCTCAAAAGTGTTGGACATGACTTAGTGACTAAAAACAACACCTGAAGGAACCTAAAGAATATAAGCAAATCGGGGATAGTTCCTATCAAGAATTTGATGGAGCCAATTTGATGGAGTTAGGGAACTGATGGCGTTCCCTCAGAGAACTAGTGGGAAGATGAAGAGGTTCTCAAAAGTTATGAATGAGGAACTCATGTGAAAGTGGAGTCACTCAATTGTGTCTGACTCTGTGACCCTGTGGACTATACAGTCCACGGAATTCATACATGGGCCTTCTTTTGCCAGTAGTCCTAATTGTGAAGGATTAATTTTGAACCTAGGTTTGAAGGGTTTGTTAACAAAACAAACCACTCATTCCACACATAAATAATTTCAATTTTTAATAGATTTTTTACTTAATTTCAATGTACAGTCATTAAAAAAAATAAATAGAAACAATAGAGAGAAGTAACAGCATACTCATCACTAGATTGGGCTGACCTACAACCAGACTTAACAGTTGTGGCAAATTCCTTGTTACAACAATCTGGAGTCCCAGGTGGGAGAGGGTCTTGGGCAGTGTGTCCGCTCCATGGGTGAGACAGTTCCAGGGCTGTCACATGTGATCCCAGGCTGCAGAGTGATTTCATCAGTTTGTGTGCAAAAATGCGCTCTGGTTAACTTTAACCTTTTTACAATGCTGTTCTTTTCACATTGTGAATCATAGGATTTTGTTAGATTTTTGGGCGGGGGGGTGCGGGTGACTGGGTGGTGGTTGACCAGATCCTCAGGGACTCAAAAATTCAAGACTTACTCCCTTATCTAAAGTGCTGCCTGACTTGCTTCACGTGCCAGCAGGCACAGAATCCAGGTGTTACCAAAACCCCAAGTCTGTGTGCCCAATGTGCAGTGAGATCAAAGAATATTAAAACATTGTTTGGAACAGAGAAAGGTTTATTACAGGTTCATGCAAGGAGATGGGTGGCTAATGCCCTAAGGACCCCAGAGTTACTGAAAACTTAGCAAAAGGGAAGGGAGGGGTGTGGTTAGCTGTTGAAGATTTCTTGGTGTCATATCCTTTGTTCTTGAGGTCCAGTGATGGTCAAGTAATGATATTCCTGTAAATCTTCACCAAACGAATGTTACTGTTTGTCCCGACAAGAAAGGGCAAGATCCCAAGGCACAGCTGTCACCCTCCAGTGTCCCCATCCTGGCTAAGAGGAGGCAGAGCTCAGCTGGCAGCTCCCTCAGGGCCAGGTCCCCACACCCTGCCCAGCTGTCATCGCTGAGGGAGCCACGCACCCAACCCAACTGGCCCTCAGTCTCTTCAGGCCACCTAAAGGTGTTAACCAAGTTTCACAGACTGCAACCCAGGCAGACGGCCTCTGCTATTAGGTCACAGATATAGGGATGGGGGAGAGGTTCACTGCTCTCAAGGCCTGGGCCAAGACTAGTGGGTGGCCTTGGCGAGGGCTCTGGAGCCCTGCAGGACACAGTCCCTGCCTGGTCCCTGGACCTCCAGCTCACCTGCTTGCCCAAGGCCAGGAAACAGGCTTGAGGTCCTCAGGGAGCATGCTGGGATCCGACTCTTATCTCACTCTCCACCTGATGACCATCATGGCACCTACTTGCTGAATCACTCCCCTGATGGTCACTCATTGGCAGTTTGTTACTTGTGGGCGGGGCCCACTGTGGTGCTGACCAATAACTGAGCAGGACTGCTAATAGTTGTTCGTTGACAATTGTTGCTTGTGGGTGGGGCCCACTTTGGCACTGACCAGTAGCTGAGCAGGGCCCATTGCTTGGTAACAGGGTGCAGAATAATGATGCACAGCAACGGCTGCTATGATCTGCGCTTGCTGTGCTCTGTCACAGAGGCACAATCCAGGCAGGTTAGAGGTCTGCTCTCCTGCTTCTGAAGCCTGAACAAGACTTCCTCCATTTTAGTTTCCCTAACAGGCCCCTTGAAGGAAGTCTAATAGACCGACATGTTCAAAGGGCAGCAGAGAAGGTGAGGGTGATCTCTAGTCAGTTGTAGGAGCCTCAGCTGGCAGCCAACTGTCTTGTTTGGGTCTGACCTTTAGACTCTGTTCCCCTGTTGTGGGAACTCCGATCAGAGGCTGTTACATGGCTCATCACAGGCTGGGCACCGTGTTGGTCACAACCTTCAGATGACTGTTCTCTAGAAATTCAGAATTTATCACTGCAGCACGCCATGTGTCATTACTTTGAAGAATGTCTTATCTGCTTTGTCAGCGTTCTTCCACTCACCCCAGTAACTCCTGGTGGGCAGGTGTTGTGTTATTTATTGCTCTCTCCACACCACTGTCCCCACCACAGCATCATGCAGACAGTGGCCCTCATATTCACTGCTGAATGAATGCCATAGGTGTCTTGCAGGTATTGAAGCCCGAGTGGGATTCTGGACTCTGGTGGGTGAGACAGTTGCAGGGTGGTGACATACAGAAATTGGCTCTAAATAAATATTGGCCACAACACCATGTGAATCTGATTTCTGCAAATTGCTGAGGAGCATTGGTTTATGGTGCCTGTAAAAATTTTTAGAGGATTTTATGTTTCAAGGGACTTCTCTGGCAGTCCAGTTAAGATTCCATGCTTCCACCACCGGGGGCTTGGTTTGATCCCTGGTTGGGGAACTAAGATCCCACATGCTGCACTGTGTAGCCAAAAAGGAAAAGAATAGATTTTTGCACTTCAGGATTTAAAATCTTTAGATGTCTTCTGTACGCCACACAACTTTGCTTTCTTCACTTTTAAAGTACTTTGTGCCAGAATTGCATTTATTTTTGGCACATGATCAGGTAAGGAATTTGGAGATAGTTCTGATTCATTCCGTTACCAGTGAATGGAAAGCACCCTGTAACTGATGCTGCTTTTCAGATACGTCAGGAGAGCTTGAAAAGGGAGGCAGGTTCCTTCATGTGTGCTCTCAAGTTTCCCTCTGTCCAAGCCAGAGTGTGTTAACTGTCATAAGAAGGTTAGAGGGTATGCGGTTTGGTATAAATTCTTGGGTTTGAAGTATTGAAATTGTCCTTTATAAACATGCTTTTACACAGGAGGGGGGCAGCTTTGATTAAGACACTGGACGTGGTTTACTGAAACTGCAGGAGAGCAGGGCTCAGGGTCTGTGTTGTGGCCCAGCATCTCAGGAGTAAGCTAAAGAGTAAGCTAGAGACCTAAATGCATTGCTAAGACCTGGAGAGAATGGCTGGATCAGAGCATCTCCCTTTTCAAATACTAAGTGAGACGAACACGGTGGTTAAACTGGCGCCTCCTTGCCACAAAGAACAAGCAAACAAGTAAACCTGGCAGGAAACAAGGAAAAAGACAACCACCCCCACCCCCCCAAAAAAGTCCAGAAACGGTAAGAGAAGAAAAAGTTATTGCTCGTGTGTGCCAGGTTACTCCTGCAAGTGGTATTGGTGGCGAATCACCACAATTTGGGCACTCTGCCTCAGGAGAGAGGCTAGCTGGGAGTGGGTTGGGTATCCTTATTGTTCCCTGTCCACGGGGAAGGGGTGTGTGGTGAATAGGGCGGCTGGTTAGCAACCAGGATGGACTCTGATGGAGGTGGGAGTTCCACGTTGAGCCAGAGAATGGATCCAGAGCCTGGGATGTTCCCCAGGGGTTATGGCATCACCTCCTACACAGGGGGTAGGAAACCCTGCCAGGGACATTTAGAAAACCTTGGTGAAGAGATGGGAGATCAGATACTCCAGGAAAAACAGTCTCGGCTGAGTTCTTCCCACATCGCCTCTGGCAGTCAGACTCCAGAGCATTATGTGGAACACAAAATATGGCTTTCACACTGCTCAGAGAGGAAACAAGCAGGGTGATCTGTTCACTCAATACCATGAGGTTGCCCACATCATACAAGAACATGATAAAAAGGAATGACATAGCTTCATATCCACTAGAATAACTGCAATAGAAAGGACAGTCAAACAAGAATTAGGATGGGGAGAAATTGGAACCATCATATATTGCTGGTGGGAATGGAAAATGATTGCAGCTACTTTGTAAGACAGTCTGGCAGTTCTTAAAAAATTTCAAACATGGAGTTAACTGTTTTTGACTCATGAATTCTACTTCTAAATACATGACCCCCCTAAAAAAATGAAAATATAGGTATATGCAAAAACTTGCTTATAGCAGCAATATCCATAATAGTCAAAAGTAGAAGTAAGTCAAATGTCCATTAAGCACACCAGGCTCCTCTGTCCATGGGATTTCCCAGGCAAGAAGACTGGGTTGCCATTTCCTACTCGAGGAGAATCTTCCTGACCCAGGGATTGAACCTGTGTCTCCCTCACTGCAGGTGGATTCTTTACCTCTGAGCCACAAGGGAAGAACAGATCTGTGGGCACAAGGTTGTTGATTCCATTGGACCACTCCTGTCTAATTGACTTATTGGACAGGGGTATTGATTTATCCTCGTGGAATAGACACACTCTGCGTATGGATTTGTCTTCCTAGCCTTCTTTGCTGATTCACACAAGATGGCTTTTGCTTAAAGAACTAATTTCACAGCAAACTACATGTAGCTCCAAGAGTGAGGTGGTGCTCAGAAAGGGGAAAATGGCCCCAATAGTAGGCAGGTTGTGATTTTTAACCTCTGAATATTAAAAAAAAAAAAATGCTCAGAATACTGCTCTAGTTGTGAGTAGGGGCTACTCTGTTTCTGTTCGCTAAGTTGTGGTACACAGGCTTCTCATTGCAGTGGCTTCTCTAGTTGAGGAGCACAGGCTCTAGGGTGCATGGGTCTCAGTTGTTGTGGCATATAAACTCAGTAATTGCAGCTCCCAGGCTCTAGAGCACAGGCTGTATAGTTGTAACTCCTGGACCTAGTTGCTCCATGGAATGTGGGATCTTCCTGGATTGGATTGAACCTGTGTCTCCTGCATTGGCAGATGGATTCTTCACCACTGAGCCACCAAGGCAGCCCCAGAATTTGGTCTTTTTAAAGGTTATATAATATTCCACTGTTTGTCCATTTATCTGTTGATGGAAATTTGGGTTGTTTATGACTTTTGGCTACCATGAATAATACTGCTATGAACACTGGTGTACAGATTACCTGTTTGAATCCCTGTTTGAATTATTTTGGGTATATGCCCAGAAGTGGAATTCCTGGATCAAATAGTAATTCTGTTTAACTTTTTGAGGGCTATATGATGTTTTCTTGATGACTTGACCCCTTCGTTATCCTGTAATGTTCTTCTTTATCACTGGTAATATTCCTTCTTCTGAAGTCTACTTTTCTGATATTAATATAACCACTATCATACTAATGTTATACTATTTATTAGTGTTTGCCTGGTGGTGTATCTTCTTCCATCCTTTTAGAACTATAAAAGTTTTTATATTTAATTGAGTTTTATGTTTATATTGAGTTTATCTATCTGTCTTTATATTTAATTGAATTTCTTTTAGATGAATAGGTTGGGGTTTGGTTTTTCATCTAATCTGACAATCTCTGCCTTTTTAATTGGGTATTTTAGACTATTTACATTTAGCATCACTAGTGATAGAATTGGATCTAAGTCTACCAGGTTGTTAGTTCTTTTCTGTTTGTTCCATCTGTTCCTTGTCCTCTTTTTCATCTTTTCCTGCCTACTTTTGGATTAACTGAATTAAAAAAAATTATTTTCAGTCATTTTCATTCAAATATTTTTTTCAGCTTCATACTCTTTCTCTTTTTTCCCCAAGACTCCAATGATACAAGTGTTAGATTTTTTGGTAATCATCTCACAAGTTCCCGAGGTGCTGTTTTTCTTCTTTTTTAAAGTCTATATTCTCTCTGTTGTTCAGATTGGAAATTTCTGTTGATTGGTCTTTGCATTCACTGTTTCTTTCCTCTACTATCTCCAATTTACTTCTGAACAACAACTGTCCAGAGAGTTTTAATTTCAATTATCACTTTTTTTTTAGTTCTATAATTTCCCTTCTGTTCTATTTTTATGTCTTCTGTTTATTTGCTGACGTTTTCCTGTTTTTTATTTAAGTGCGTACGTAATTGCTCACTGAAGCATCATGACTGCTTTAAATCCTTGTCAAATTAATTCCAACCTCCAAGTAATCTCAGCGCTGGTGCCTTTTGATTATCTTTTTTCATTCAGGTTGTTGGTTTGTGATGTGGCAAGTAGCTTTGTGCCCTGGCCACTTCTCTGGCATTGTGTTGCAAGACCTGTTTGATATTACTCCTATTAAATCCTTTTTCTGTGTGGGTGTAGTGTGCAAGTCCAGCCTGGGGTGCATGCACAGCTCCTGTGGGGCTTCACCGACTCCACCCTGACAGTGGCACGGGGACTTATGCCCTGGTGCAGGTGGTGTAACCTGGTCACAGGAGCCCTGGTAGGACAGGCTGCTGTGATGTGAACTGTCTGTAGAGGGCCAGGGGGCAGGGAGCATGTGGCAGGCTGCAGGAGCTGAGGGCTGCAGTCCTACAGCTTTGAGGAATCCAGTTCTTTCCACACCATGTGAGTTTGGAGGAAGGCCTCAAGATCCCAAAAGGAGCACAGCCCCATGGCACTTGAGTGCAGCCTGGTGAGATGCTGAGACAGAGAACCAGCTAAGCCACTCAGACTCTAGATCCACAGGTGTCCTTCTGAACCATCCACATTTTACAACTGTGGAAGACTGACACGCCCTTTTTGCTGCTCCTTCTCCTTCCTCATGTTCCAG